GTTGTCGCGGACGAGTCCGAAACGCCGTCCGCGGAGAGAGCCAAGGATTGCGATATCCCGGACGAATCGAGCGGCAACAACGTTGTCGCGGACGAGTCCGAAACTCCGTCGGCGGAGAGAGCCAAGGACTGCGATATCCCGGACGAATCGAGCGGCAGCAACGTTGTCGCGGACGAGCCTGAAACGTCGTCCACGGAGAAAGCCAAGGAGTGCGATATCCCGGATGAATCGAGCAGCAACGCGGATGACGTGCATGTGTCGCAGAGAGAGGCCGCGCTGTTGAAGAAGACAGAGTCTGAATCGTCGGACAGCAATCTGGACAATTCCGAGAAGAACGTCCAGCCGGAAAACCCGGAGTTCGTGCAGTTCTCCCACGACAAGCACGATGACTCGCAGATCGAGGGCCAGTCCATGGACGCGGAGGACCCGTTCGGCGGCGACAATCTCACACCCGAGCACGTGGAACAGGCGGAGACCGATGCGCTCGCCGAGAACGGGCTCAGCTTCAAGAAGCTGTACGAGCAGGGCGACAATCTGCAGGACGCGGTGAACGCGAGAAATAGCGACTGCGACGAGAAGCTGGGCGTCGATTCGGCGTTGAACGACCCGAAGTTGGCCGACGTCGACAAGGTCGCGGACGGCGTCGCCGAGACGTCGAGTAACGTGCAAGCCGCCGTCGACTCGCTCGAGAGCACGTCGATGGACGTCGATCTTCCGGGCGCCAGTGCGTCGGAGACGGAACCGGTAGACGTGTCCTCCGCGAAATCGCCCGCCGAACGAGACGAGCAGGCCAAGAAGAGCGTCGAGGAGATCGCACCGATAGAGGCGGACGAGGAGCAGACCGACGTGTTGCCGGGACAAGACGACGAATTGTGCATCATTCCAGACAGCATGAAGATAATAATACCAAATAAATCGGGCAAAACGGTGGACGACGCTCAGGGCGAGTCTACGGTCGCCAAGGATTCGAAATCCGAGGAAGCGTCGCAGAAATCCAATTCCGAGCTTGAGAAGGATGCCTCGCAGGATGAGTCGGTGAAATCGGTAACTGTGGAAAATAAAAGTACAGAAGAGAATGCCGTAAAGCAGAAGATGGTCGTTGAAGACGAGTCGAAGTCGGAAAATGTGGTCCTGATGGCGGATGTTATCAACATCGACGACGAGTCGAAAAATTCAGAAGTTGAGGAGATTAGTCATAAAGAGGTGTGTAAGCAGTGCGGCGAGGAGGGGGTGTGCAAAATTCGGGTGAAGATCGACACGGATAGTCATCTCGTGTGCTCGAAAACGTGCAAGGCGTTATTTAAAGCAGCCAATATCAAATCGATGGACATACCGAGCCAAGCGGCTCACTCTAAACAGGAGAAGCGTTGCGCGAGCTGTTTATTAATTATAGAGGCAAGTGACGAGCGAAATCTCTCGTGGGAGACAATGGAGTTCTGCAACGAGGAATGTTTGGGCAAGTTTCAACGCAAGTACGGAAGTTACTGCAAGAATTGCAACGGCGCGGTTCAAGCTGTGAGTTTAGGAAAGTATTGCGTGAGATTCGGATGCGACGTGCGACAGTTTTGCTGCTCGACATGTCTGGAGGAGTTCAAGAAGGGCCTGAAGGTGTGCAGTTACTGTCAGAAGGACATAAGTTTCAGCACGGACGGCTTCCTCGCGCCGGTCGGCGAGAAGGGGCAGTTTAAAGACTTTTGTACGCAAGACTGCATGGAAAAGTATTCCAAGTTGAATTCGACGGAGCCGCCAGCTACGGAGAAGAAGCCGTGCAGCGTCTGTCAGGAGGTAAGACGATCCTTCTGCTTCTCACTTTCCGTAAATGTATTATGGATAATCTTTTAAATGTAACGAATCTTTCTTTCTCGCAGCAAAAGCTCGTACACTGCGAAGTTCAGATATACAATAGCACTCCAGTAGCGATATGCAGCGAGCCCTGTTTCGCCGCGTTCAAGTTTGTGAAACAGGTGAAGCCTGAGCAGTGCTCTACCTGCAAGAAGTTTTTCGAATTGCCGAATAAGCAGCATTTTATTGTATTTTACGAAAACGAGCCCCACACGTTTTGCCACAAGACATGTTTAAATATATTTATCATAACGAATAGGAAAATAGTTCCGTGCAACTGGTGCAAAGTAAAGAAGTATAACTTTGATATGATTAAGAAGGAATTGAAATCGGGACAAACTCTGATGATGTGCAGCTTAAATTGTTTGACGCTATATCAGGTATGATATTTCACCATTTGAAATGAATATGTTACGCGACGAGGATACAAACTTGATCTTTTTTTATCTCTCCCGTAGGTTTCGATAAATGCGGTGTCTGCGAAACGAATTAACTGTGATTTATGTAAGGAGTACTCCTTAGCTCATTATCATCTCACAATGTCGGACGCTACGATACGTAATTTCTGCTCGTACAATTGCGTCATGAACTTTCAAGCGCAATACACCAAGTCGCCTATAACTATACCGTCGGGCGACGATCCTGTACCTACGGGGCTGCCCAAGAGGACCACATTGCCGCAAAGAAGCACGGCTCAGACCGTTGGCAGCGAGATGCCAAGTAAGAAGATTCCGGTCATCTCTTCGGTGACGAGCCTAGCCTCGATGGGAAACGGACAAGCGAGCCCGACGTCGCAGCAAAACAATATGGTGATGCCCGCGAACGCGAGTCAAGCGGCACAGATGGTCTACAAGCAGCAGGTCATTACCAGACCGCCTAGTCCGGTGAAAGTGCACAACAAGACGACTCAGTGCAAGCCTATAGTACATACGAAAGGGGTGTCCGTGCGTCCTCATCCCTGCACAAAATGGACGCAGACGACGGAAAAGGCGCAACAGGTGTTCGTACCCATACCAGTGCCAATTTACGTTCCGTTTCCAATGCACATGTATAGTTTACCTTTCCCAGTTCCAATGCCTTTCCCGTTGCCCATTCCGGTCCCGCTGTTTATACCTACTACGAGAAACAGCGCCAAGGGAATTATGAAAGATATCAAGAAAATACAGGAGAAGATACCGGCCGATCCGTACGAAGCCGAGCTCCTTATGATGGCCGAGATGGTGGCTACCGAAAAGAAGACAAACGACAGCGATTCGGACTCGGTGGACGATAGGTAAGCGAATTGATATTATTTACAGATTGTTTGACTGCAACAGTATCTGCGGTGTTTAATAGCAATAGGACGCCTCATTTCTGCGCTGAATAAAAACAAATGTAAAAGCATAAATGTGTCGATACTTTGCAAGCTGACGAGTCATTCGTCCTATTTGTTTCGTAAAAATTTGTTTTTTATTTATCTCACGCATCAAAAGCATATATTTTTGTTTAGGGAAGGTGCCACAGCTGGTCAAGACAATTTACATAGTGATGGTTTCAGTCCGGAAGCGGTTGATTCCAGCAACATGTTTGGAGAGGACATGTTGCAAGTGGCGCAAATGTTAAACATCGCCGCGGCAGAATTAAACGAGCCAGCGGTCGATTTGGAAGCTGCCCTGACTTCGAACACGATTACAGCTACACAAGCACCGCCGCAGACAGAGAACACTTTAGATAACGACGGTATGTGCAAGTTGATTGGAGGTTCACATTTCCCGAAACTAGAACTTGAATCAAGTTTCAGCATCGTGGACGCAGGCCTTGACAACTTGTCCTCTTTTTCAGTGCAATCGGAACGGCTAATGGTTGCCTCTAGAGGAAAGAAACGTGTGATCCCGTACAAACCGCGATCGACACCGACCAAACGGATGAGGCGTGTCTCCGGTACAAATGACATGCCGATGATGCCACCACCGGAGCCACAGCCGCCGCCGCAGCCGCGCATTTTGGAGCCGATGGAGAAACCTGACGCTAATATGGCATTAAAATATACGTTTGGCGTAAACGCGTGGAGGCAATGGGTTCGTAACTGCTTTTATTTGTACGACAACGAGACGGAAATATATTTACCACGAAAATTTGAAACGTACACAGGTGGTGGGGAAGAATGCTGAATTAGAAAAACAAAGTACACCCTTGAGGAAGATAAAATTGTTCAAGACAGATCTCCTGCAACTTACCGCGGACGAGTTAAATTATTCGCTATGCCTCTTCGTGAGGGAAGTGAAAAAACCGAACGGTTTGGACTACGCTCCCGATACAATATACTACCTTTGCCTAGGTAAAATCAACTTTGGCACGATGCGAGAGCGCCAGCGATTACAATTATATCGTATGTCTCTTTCATAAGCCTTTGTTTTAGTCTCAAGTATTTTTTCGTGAATTCGTTTTAGGAATACAGCAGTACCTGTTTGAGAATAACAGGATCGATAACATATTCACGGACTCGTACTACGAGAAATTTACAGATTGCTTAAACGAGGTAGCGAAAAAGTTCTCCGTGCTGTACAACGATACCCGTAAGTGTGTCTTATCACCCGTTGTGATTGTAAATTTTATTTTCACCAACTCTGTCTTCTCAAATATCATGTCATGTCGCCTATTTTACAGAATACATCGTGACCAGAGTGGAGGAGGAGCATTTGTGGGAATGCAAACAATTAGGTGCCCATTCCCCGCATGTTCTGCTAAGCACGCTTATGTTCTTCAATACGAAACATTTTAATCTCGTGGTGAGCTCATCTCGAAATTGACTAGTAAAAATCATTTAACTATTTGATATTGCGACACTAATAAAAGTTTCTTTTCAGACAGTAGAGGAGCACATGCAACTTTCCTTCTCTCATATCATGAAACATTGGAAGCGCAATCCAGCAGCCCAACCCGCAGCAGTGGCAGGGAAAGTTCCCGGTTCAAGAAATGTCCTTCTGAGATTTTATCCGCCGCAATCAGCTCTTGGTTAGTTATAATCTATCGTATGTTGGGTACATAAAAATTGTGTCAATGCTGATTCATCGGTACACGAAACATTCTACTAATTATTAATTTTTCTAAAGAAGCTAATTCAAGAAAAAAGAAAGTGTATGAACAACAAGAGAATGAAGAGAATCCATTGAGATGTCCTGTTAAGTTGTACGAATTCTATTTGTCGAAATGGTACGTAAAACATTATGACTGAACGAACGATAAAGACATTAAGTTTAATTTATTGCGATAGTTTTGACGCCATGTACCTACTCTTGCATTGAACTATTGCAGCCCTGAAAGCGTCAAGACGCGAAATGATGTCTTCTATCTATTGCCAGAACGTAGTTGTGTGCCAGACAGTCCGGTATGGTACTCGACATCGCCCCTCGCGAAGGAACAGCTCATCAAAATGTTATATCGTATTAAAATGGTTAAAGAAATTAACGTAGCTTTACTAACGACTTAATTTTACCTATTACAATGATCTCTTATATCGTCAAACCAACAAGTAAGAGAGGCAAGAGGAAGACTCATCTGTTTTAACACTTTGACTGCCATCCGAAAATGTGAGTTCAACCTCAGACTTAGCAATGTTACAATATCGTATATTTAATTATAAAAGTGAACATTTGAACAAGATTCCGTTAACGAAGTTTAATTTTTGGTACAAATTTTGTCTTTAGCATAAGAAGCTACGTTGTGATTTTTACCTATTGAATTGTGTGTATATGCAAAGTGTTAAAATGGTACGTGAAAATGCAGAAGAGGGATTACTACAAAAATGAGATACGAACAGAAATATAGGATTAAACAAGTTTTCCAGTTTTTATTGTATATTTTTCACTTCCCAATAAAAAGAAACTTCTTGATCATAAAAAAAAACCAATTTGTGAAATTGTGAAAGATACGACGTTATTTAAACTTTATCTACGAGAAGTAAAATTGCTAAAAGTTAATTTTTCTTCTGTTTTTATGTTTAATTCTATACATATATCTTTGTTAAAAAAAATCCATCAATTGTGAAACCCTTGAATCTTTTTACGATAATTATAGTAGCATAATAAACTCTAGCGATATGGATGTCATTACGAAGATACAGAATTGTAACAAAAAAACAAATATATTTATTTATTTCGTTCTATTTCCTCACAGATGTATTGAAAAATGCTGTACCCGATCAAAAGTTCATCCAGTTTTCTGCGGACGTACGAAAGCGCGCTTATGTTTTTGCCTACGTCTAGTAATTTCCATCTCGTGCAGTTTCGTGTACACTTCATTAAATATTTCATTCTGATCCTCCTCGGGAATGGTTTCCCTAAGTAAACAGAAAAAGAATTGCAAGTTAGAACGGTCTCAAAAACTCGTAGCATTGCGAGAGAAGTTTTGCTCCCTTACCGATACGTTTTCATCAGGTCGTACTTCTCCCAAGGCTACTCTCTTGCCTTGGCTTTTCTAATGCGCTTGTGACTAAGCAACGGTATCAAGTCTTCCACACCCTTCAACTCTTGACGTTCCCATCTCTCCAACCATGGACGAGGATTGAGCTGTACTTTAATCTCTCTTACAGATACTGGAGCACCTTCCACCACGTATTCCGGTTCCATGTCGAAGGGGAACATGCTATACTCTGGCGGTGCGTCTCGCAGGTACCGTAGATGCGGGTCCAAACTCTTCTCAAGCCTGAATATTCGCCGCGGGCGATACAGTCGACAAGAAATATTTCCAGATAATTTATGTAAAGCGTCAACTATGTTTACCTCAGACACTCTATCTTCTGTATTGCAGGATCGTAGAGCTCGTAAAGCACCTCGATTCCCTGGTTATCGACTATGTTCCTCACGAGGCCCTCAATCCCATTTCCTTTCTCTCGATGCATATGCCAACGAACTTGTTGACCTTCCCGGGAGCGTGCGACTCGGAATACGTCACAGCTAATACAGAACCGACGTAAAATTCGGGTATCCCTATGTGCTTGGGCCTCGCCATCATATCCATGCGCTCCAGCTTCTCCCGGAGCGAATTGCGATACTTGGGCTCCGGGTTCGGTAAAAATTCCGGATAAATGAACCGATACCTATCCGGGATCGCTCGCTTCTGCCTCTCGACGTTTTCTCCCGGCGTCTTATCGCTACTTGGCGACTCCTGTGCAGAGTCTGAGGCGACGGTGGAGGAACTCGCCCTGGTTGCGTGACCTGAAAGACGGGTTTGTGCAATTTCTCAAGTACTTTGAGGAAACGACGTCGAGGCCGTGCACTCACGTTGTCGAGCATAAGCCGGGTGAGAGTAATTCGAGGGGGAAACCGCAGAGGGCATTGTGGTGTACAGATTTAAGGCATTACTGGACATTAGAAAGATAAAATAAGATGAAACAAGGGGAATAAGATTAAGTAATGCCCACTGGGCATTGGTGTACAAGATTTTGGTCAGCGGTTTCCCCCTCGGCGAGTAATTTAACTTAATGTAACCTACGTAGAACTCTCGCCGCTCGTAGTCCGCCATAGCCGCGAGAGAAAATCCTCGAGATCACGACCATTGTTTCAATCTTCTATTATTGGTATTGCATGCATTTAAACGCGCATAAACCTCTCTCCTCTCTTGAAAAGGCGCGAAAACATATTTCGGCAGGGAGGTAGACGCGAGTGTTCGAAATAAGCAGCTAAATTCACGAAATAGGCGAACACCGACGAACACGTCGCGCCGCAAGAGATGCTGTGCGAAATCGAAATTGGCGTTGGCGCGCAGCGACCGAGACGACATCTGCCGGCTGTTGGCTTGGCGAGAAGCAGAGAGCAGAGAGAAGTTTCTCATCCATGGTGGAACTTGGAAGAGAAGGATCTGGAATGTGCCAGACGGACTATCCCCACTCCTACCCCCACCGCCGCTGCAGCGTACTAACGTGTTAACGTTTTCTCGGCTGGCATCACTGTCTGGAACGTAGCGGTTATTGGCGGTTGTTCGCCGAGCGTCTGTGAAGATACAGAGAGACAGGTGAAGCGTGCAGCTTTCTCCGTCGGATTTCTGTAAGTACGTCGCGATTAAAAGTAGCGCGGTGTGCGCAGCGCGTAAACGAGCGTCTGTTGACGAATTTGCGTTTACAGGATAGCAAGATTGCGGGTGCGCGTCAGGGACTGATCTCCGCGGCTCCGCGTGGTGAACACTGATCCTTTGAGGTTAAGCGAGGCCGCACGATGAAGAGATCGCACTCGCGAAGGAACGAGGAGGAGAGCGAGGAGCGCTCTCGCAAGCGCAGGGACCACAAACGCGACGACGACTCCCGCAGGGAGTCGAGACGCAACGGCGACCACCGGGCTTCCCGGCACCGCGACGATCGCCGGGACCGCTCGAGGCGGAACGACGACGACGAGCACAGGGATCGCTCCAGGCGGGACGACGACGAGCACAGGGACCGCTCCAGGCGGGACGACGACGAGCACAGGGAGCGCTCGAGGCGGGACGACGGCCACCGCGGTTCCAGGCGCGACGACCGCGGAGATCGCAGCGATCGCGGCGATCTCGGTGACAGCGACGGCGGCGAGAGGCGGGAGGAGATCGGTAGCAGGTACTATGGGGAGCCGGACAAGGCGCGGGAAAACCCGGCGGACGCCAAGCAGAAGCGGACAGTGGATCTGCTCACCTCGAGGACCGGCGGCGCGTACATCCCGCCTGCCAAGCTGCGTATGCTCCAAGCGGAGATCACCGACAAGTCGGGCGCCGCTTACCAGCGTATCGCGTGGGAGGCGCTGAAGAAGTCGATTCACGGATACATCAACAAGGTCAACACCAGCAACATCGGGATCATAACGCGGGAGCTGCTACATGAGAACATCGTTCGCGGCAGAGGCCTACTGGCGCGGTCCATCATCCAGGCGCAGGCCGCGTCCCCTACGTTCACCCCGGTCTACGCCGCGCTAACGTCCATAATCAACTCCAGGTTTCCCAGCATAGGCGAGTTGGTGCTGAAGCGGCTGGTCCTGCAGTTCAAGCGTGGCTTCAAGAGGAACGACAAGCCGCTGTGCATATCTTCGGGGACCTTCGTGGCGCATCTGGTGAACCAGCGCGTGGCCTACGAGATCATCGCCCTGGAGATCCTGACTCTGCTGCTGGAAACGCCGACGGACGACTCCGTCGAGGTGGCCATAGCGTTCCTGAAGGAGTGCGGCATGAAGCTGACAGAGGTGTCGCGCAGGGGCATCGAGGCCATCTTCGAGATGCTGAGGAACATACTGCACGAGGGACAGCTGGACAAGCGAGTCCAGTACATGATAGAGGTGATGTTCCAGATCAGGAAGGACGGATTCAAGGATCACGAGGCGGTGCCGGAGGAGCTGGACCTTGTGGAGGAGGAGAACCAGATGACGCACTTGATCAGACTGGAGGACGAGATGAACGCGCAGGACATATTGAACGTGTTCAAGTTGGACCCGGACTACCTCGCCTCCGAGGACAAGTACAAGCAGCTGTTGAAAGAGATTCTCGGCTCGGACGTGAGCGACTCGGAGGGTGACGACGATGACGGGGAGGAGGAGGAGGAGGGGAGCTCGGACAACGACAGCGGCACGGAACAAGCCGAGGGCAAGGAAGGGGTGATAGTCGACAACACGGAAACGAATCTGACCGCGCTTCGACGGACCATATACCTGACGATACACTCCTCGCTCGACTTCGAGGAGTGCGCTCACAAGTTGATGAAGATGCAGCTGAAGCCCGGGCAGGAGATCGAGCTGTGCCACATGTTTCTAGACTGTTGCGCGGAGATGCGGACGTACGAGAAGTTCTTCGGCCTCCTGGCCGGCCGGTTTTGCTCGATCAACAAGATGTACGTGACGCCGTTCGAGCAGATCTTCAAGGACTCCTACCACACGATACACCGCCTCGACACCAACAAGCTACGAAACGTGTCCAAGTTCTTCGCCCACCTGCTGTTCACAGACTCGATATCGTGGAGCGTGCTCTCGTGCATAAAGTTGAACGAGGAGGACACGACGAGCTCCAACAGAATATTCATCAAGATTCTGTTTCAGGAGCTCTCAGAGTACATGGGCCTGGCGAAGCTGAACGAACGGGTGAAGGACGTGACGTTGCAGGAGGTGTTCGAGGGACTGTTTCCCCGAGACGATCCGAAGAACACGCGTTTCGCTATCAACTTCTTCACGTCTATCGGCCTGGGTGGCTTGACGGACGACCTGAGAGAACACTTAAAGTCTCACCCGAAGCCGGTCGCCGTGGCGCCGATAATCACAAAGGAAGAGGAGCCCTCGAGCTCCGACGACGAATCCACCAGCTCGTCGTCCAGCTCCAGCTCCAGCTCGTCCAGCTCATCGACGAGCGACTCTTCTTCGTCGTCGTCGGAAGAGGAGGTGATTCAAGTTTCGACGAGGAAGAGGAAGAAGAAGGTGCAGCACAAACGAAGAGAAAAGAAGTCCAAGTCGAAGGACAAGAAGGAAGAGAAGCCCAAGAAGGCGCAGAGCAGGAGGAAGAAAGGCAAGACGTCGAAAAAGGACAAGTGAGACGAGACACTAGGACCTTAGTGACGTGAAAATAATCCTTTCCCCTTTTTTTATAAGTGTATGATAACTATCTATTCTGTACAAATTACATTCTACTTTTTAGCTTTACTTTCTAGAATACGAAGCGAGCAAGGAGGATAATAAATACAGTATTCTACTTTGTATGCCGTTTAATAATCGATCACGAGACGCGATAGTGTCTCGCGCCAAGTAGAAGCTAGCTAGAACCGCGCGCGCGAGACCGACCGTGTTAAGGATCACATCGAGATCAGATCCGTTCGTTTTTCTCGCGGTCGACAGTTTGCGTACACGCAAAACTATCCCCGCCATTCTCGTCGTGTAACGCGGCCTGTAACGTTTCGACATTTCCAGGAGACTGCGAGGAGCGCCCGCGCGTCCCCGAGTAATTTTTCCCGGGATTTAAGCCTAATCTACAATGTGCTTTCTGCATCTAGAAACATTTTATTTTATATAAACAAATCGAAACGCTTAAAACATTTGTCGACAATGTACAATTGTACAGTATATAATATACAATTCATTCACTTGCGCAAACTTTTTAAATGTATTTAGTGACTACAAAATAGAATGTTTCTAGATACAGAGAGCACATTGTAGATTAGACTTGAGTCTAGCGATTTCTCATTTTCACAATGCGTCCGGGACGGGGCGAGCGGAGCCGGCTGGTCCGCGTGACCGTCGGAGTCTACACCGGAGCCTCGCGCCGTCCCTGACAATGAACACAAGATGGCAACGGTACCAAGAGCGCGGCACGCCGCCGCGACCGCGCCTCCACGTCGCTCGCGGATGCGTGTGCGGCATGCCGTCGCGCGAGTGTGTGCGTGACGCGCGGGGAGGTACGCGAGCTATTTTGACGGGAAGGTCACATGACTAGACGGCTGTCGGCGTCCGATTCACACAGAGACGCGTGCCGCCGACCGCGCGTCGTAACCGAGCTATGCGGCGTTGCGGCCTACGACGGGCGGCGCGAGCGCGCGCGCGCACACACGCGCGTGACGCGCACACACCTGCTCTCCTCGACGCGGCGAGGGGTCCGCGGGGACCCGACCAGGTCCGTCGGACGAAGGGAGAGAGGGACTCGCAGTGGGTCCTACATAATCAAAGTGAAATTGTCCTTCTCTCGCGGTTGTCTCTCCGCGTCTCCTTATTTTGTATTGTATTTTTAGATGTCATCGGCTCCGATGAGATCCTCGCCGGTTTAGCGCGTCCTGGGAGAGTAGATTATCCTTATCCTGCCTTCCATCGCTACGTCCCCGTCCAAGCGGAGCGGTGCCGACGTGCTCCGAACTGGCCTCCGCCTGCCCTAAATACCAGGTCCGCGTGTTGTAGCTGCGCCTAGGGTCGCGAGGAGACCCGGTAATTCGCGATAATAGCATAGAGTGATACGGGCGTTTCGCGCGGCGCCTACGCGACGCCACGGTAACGTCGGTCTGTTGTTTTCTTGCTCCGGCACTGTTCGCGACAGGCGCGGTGGTGCGCAGTAGGTGGCCGGTTGTCGCGAGAAGGGGGAAGAAAAGGGAGGAGTACGGCTCGACGTCGTCGTCTTCGTCTTCGCCGCCGCCGCGGCGGCGGCGGCGGCGGCGGCCGCGATGCTCGTAGAGGGGAACGAGACAGGCATGCCGAGTTTACGGTGATTCTTTACCACCGAGCGGACGCGTGCGCGCGGCCGAGCGGGGCTCGCGGCACGCACACCGAGGCATGCGTGCAGAAAAAGCTGTCTTGCAATTGTTGTAACAATCCTGAATCTGATGCTCTAAGATTCAGCAATTAAGAACATACACCAATCAGATTCATAAATTTTATAATTGTAAAACAGCTTTTTCTGCTAAACACAGCAAATGTATCCAATAAATGTTACATTCTTCTAGGATATACAATCGATTTAATGTAGACGTTAATTTTATACATATTTGTATATACGTTTGTATAAAAAATTTTTATATTTAATAAAAATTTTTTATATAAAAATTTATTTGTATGAAACATTTTTATATACTGATTATACATGGACATTTTTTTACCGGGGTCTGTTATACATTTAACGATAAAAAGACATTTTTCAGAACTATCATCCAAACATCTGTAGTACAAATATATAAAATAATCTCATCCACACTACTTTCTTTAAAAGAATTACAATGTAAAAAATTGTATTTAATAGAAAATCAGACGTATTGACGATATACTTTGGACATCCCTAAAATGTCTGCGTAAATAACCTTATTATTGGATGTCCAAACGACGTCCTTGAGACATATTTTAGACATCCGTCGACATAAACGGGACTTTTCAAGACATATTTCGGACATCCAAAGGACGTCGAATTGTTGCATGGGAAGCCCGGGGTGACACCAGCCGATTTGCATTAAACTCATGGGGTAATATATGCATAATTTGTCGTTAAATATCGGCTTGGTTGTCCTTTGTTGCGTGGACCATCCACACACCGTTGTCCTTAAGGTTGCGCGAATTGTTGAGATTGATTATTCATGGTATGATTTTTAAGAGATGCTTTAGGACGACGGTTTGTTTCGTTTGCCGTCTTTGTCTGGGGCTATAAAGCCCGGCACTGTTGAGCGGGTCGTTCCTGAAGTAATACCTTCGTCAGGTGGTTCCGGGGGCGACTCGTTTGTAGTACGGAGGATGGTCCAAAGAGAGGGTTTTTTAGCTGGTATTCCCGCTTCTCGGGCGAGTCCAGCATAACCATCCAGGACCGGCCCTGATGGTACGCGTAAAAGCGTTTTTCCCTACTCTCGGAGAGAAAAAAAACAAAAAAGGGGGATGCTGGAGTGTTTCTGCACTTTTGCACCTGAAACTGTCTGTTTCGTGGAAACATTCGTGTAATATACAAATTAAATGGCTTACGTGTACAGATCGAAAGCAGCTTGCTATTCCGGTTAAAAAATTGAAGAACAATATGGCGGCACTGAAACTTAAGTTTGTAAGTCATAAAAAAAATAGCGAGCTACACACACACTACATGTACTGTATGTGTGTATTGCTCACTATTATTTCTTATTAGACTTACAAACTTAAGTTTCAGTGACGCCATATTATTCTTTCATTTAGCCGGAATGGCAAGCTGCTTTCGATCTGTACACGTGAGTTATTTAATTTGTATATTACACAAGTGTTTCCGCGAACTGATAGTTTCTAGGTTAGAAAGGTGCAAAAGTGCAGAATTACTCCAGCATTACCTTAAGGGGGCTTTTGTGTACGAACTAACGAAAGCCAACGGCACACGATACTATTTTTCCTACTGGATTCCTTATGAGAGCCAACCAGGATTCAGCTTTGAGTCACCTGATCGAAAACTCTGCGTCCTGATTGGCTCTCGTAAGCAATCCAGTAGGAAAAATAGTATCGTGTGCCGTTGGCTTAATATTAAGCTCGCTAAACTTAATTTCAATGATACTATGCTGTTCTTTCACCTAATCCGAACAGTGGGACACTGTCGGTCTGTAGACAAAAGCCACACAACTTGTACATTACACAATGTTTTCGCGAATCGACAGTTCTAGGAGCAGAAGGTGGCAAATCGTGCAGAATCGCTCCAGCATCCCCTTAAAATCATCTCGTCAAGTAAGGGCCTGAGCGGAGTGGCCGTCTTGTACTCTTAGGACAATGTTTTACGTTTTAATTTTCTGTCCCGTAAAGTAACGCACGATAACCAACCTCGTGTCTCGAGAATACAAAATAGCCGGCCTGCTCGGGCCCTGAAATTTCAACTGCCGCGACATTTACGCGGCAGTGGGACAAAGAGTCGCGACGACATCGGAGCATTCGGGACGATGAGGGTCGCGATAACGTCGTCGCGATGTTATCGCGAGTCTTGCGCTCTATCCGGGCGGCACCGAAGGGCCGCGAGGTGATCAAGTACAACGCAAGCGGCATCGTGCCGCAGGCGGACCGTCGAGCGAGTTCAGCCGCGAGCTACTTTCTCGCCACGCGGTACGTGGAGCCGGTCGTGCACTCACACCGAGGCGGCGCGAAAAGCGCGCGCGCACACAGGCAGCGGGAGAGTGTGTATTCTGCATGAGAGGAGACAGTCTCTCAAGGGCTCCGCCGTCTCCGCGACTCTCGTCTCGTGTTTACGCGGTCGCGCGCGCATGTGTACGGCCGCGGACACCGCCGTGCGAGCGAGACGGAGCGAGGGGGAGGGGGAAGGAGCAAAAAAGCGGGGAGAAGGGCCCCTCCGCTGGCGCGTGAGGGCAAAAAGACTCGGCGGAGAGCGGGAGCGCGAGAGATAGAGAGAGAGAGGAGAGACGGAACATCCACACGGTCGTCGTCCACGAAAGCGCGGCGGGCGAGGAGGAGCGTGCGTGAAAAGCGTGCGTATATATCGCGGACGCCTGCCGTTGTCTCGTTAGCGTCTGTGCCACGGGGAGAGACAGAGCGAGGCGGAGGGCGAGAGAAAGAGAGACGGAGAAATATTGGCGTCGCAGCTTCGCGCGTGCAACTCGCATATCGGCGTGCATGGTCCGTCGGTTTCCACGTCGCCCGGGATCGGAATCGGGATCGGCGCCGTCGTCAGCAGCTCTCGCGGCGCGGTGAGAAATATGCGCGCCTCCGCCGCGAGTGTCCGCCGTCCGCCGCAGTCGCACGGTGCGTGCTCCGCCGCCGCCGCCGCCGCCGCCGTCGCGATCGATACGCCATTGCGTCGCGACGTGCCGACGAGCAAATCGCTCGTCTGACGATGCCAGCCGTGCTGGTGGCCGCGCTCCAGTGATGCGATAATATTTCGCCGGACGGACGTCGGACGTATCGTCGCCGACATCCCCGTTGTTGTTGGCGCGCGCGGCGGCGCGGCGCGTCCCGATAGCGATCGTCGGCGACGCCAGTAGCGGCAGCGACGACGAGGAGGAGAGGACGTGGGCGAGGAGGTGGTGGTGGTGGTGGTTGTGGCGGCGGAGGAGGAGGAGGAGGAGGAAGAGGTGGCTCGTGTTGGCGCGCGCGGCGGGGAATGTCGTCGACGGGACGGCCCGACGCTGATAACGCGCGCCGTCCGCGACAGCAGTGCGCCGTGGTGCAGTGACGGACAGTGAGAGATGATAAATAGAAACGCGCGCGTGTCTGCCCGCGCGAGTGCAGTGAGCAACGTGCGGCGATAAATAGACAGCAAACATATATACATATGTGTATATATATATATTACGTATAAAGCATGTGCCATTTCGTTGCCCGTAGATTGCGTTCGATAAGACTGTGAGTGCCCGCTACGGATCGTCGGCCCGCCGTATCCGTGACCGTGCCGCTGCTTTCGTCGCGCATCGAATTCGCGGCTGCGAGAACGTCGCGTTGAAAACCGCCGTCGCCGCCGCAGGAGGAAGAGGAGGCGAAGAAGAAGAGGAGGAGGAAGAAGAAGAAGACGACGACGACGACGGCGAAGAAGCGGAGGAGCGAGAGGGCAGTAGTGGAGAGCGAGAGGGGAGTTGGCGACAGAATCGGAGGGAACTCGCTCGGAGGAGGCTCTCTCGTTCGGCGGACGGCGCTCGCCGCGCACGATCTCGATCTCCGGCGTAACGCGCTTTTCTGCCCCGCGAAAGCGCGCGCGCGCGCGCGCGGGGGAGGAGGCGAGAGAGAGGCTCGCGCGGACAAAGCGGACGAGAGAGACGGACGGACGGCGGGAGCGCGCGCGGCCTTATCATGTTGTGCGTGCAAGTGGCGGCGTCGCATCGTTGTCTTCGTCGGCGACGCGTAATGCAGCGGCGGGAGGGGCGAGCATAGGGAGGAAGGAAGGACGCGCGAACGGGTTATACGCGTGTAACTCGGCCTCTCGTGCCGGACGAGAGCGGAGCGAGACGGAGAGAGAGAGAGAGAGAGAGAGAGCGCGCGCGCGTGCGTGCGTGCGTACGTGCGAGAAAAGGAGAGACAGCTTGAGAGAGAAAGAGAGGGGGAGAGAGTGAGGAGGGCCTCGTAGCGCGCGGGTTAGAAAACCCCGTTCGCCATGGAGAGGATGGACCCGTGTCTGTCCCGCGGCACGGCACGTCGATCCGCGAGCGAGCGCGAGGAATGCGGTGGAGACTGCACTGCTACGACTACTACGACGACGACGGCGGCGACGCGCTGGGCCCGAGTAACATGGAAGTGGAGTCGCGAGGAAGCCGAGCTGTCGCGCTAGTGCCCGCCAGTCCCGCTGCCCCGTCGTCCGCGACGTAAATAAGTTTTTCGCGGATGGTCAAAGTGTAACGCGGATTATACTGTGTACACGCGAGCTGTACGTGTAGGCGCGCGCGTATATATAAAGCGAATGCGCGGTGATCCGTCGGCGTGCGGCTAAGCGCGTACGTTAAGAGCGGCCGTGATCATTGCTCCGTTCCTCCGTCGCGCCGATCCTCCACCTCCGGGCGGGGGACACGCGCGCACAATGGAAACGCTACTGCCCGGCAACACCGCCGCTGGCCAGTCGTACAGTCCGCAGTTGAAGACCGTCCTCAAGACCTATCAGCTGTCGGCCATCAAGAGCCTGCAGGGTCCCAGCTCGGCCCTGCTGGGCATGGACTGTAAGGCCCTGCTGCACGAGCAACAGTCGGCGACCTCGTGCTTCTCGCCGCCCGCCGTCGGCCGTCCGGCGGGCGGCTGTGGCCTGGAGTCGCCCGTGGAGTCGCAGCCGCCGAAGGACGTGGTCGAGAAGGAGATACGCGAGACGACAACGTCGGCGCGCACGCTGACACCTGTCCCGAAGGCGCCGCGCTCGCTCGACGACTCTGACGAGGATCGTCCCGTGGTGGCGACGGCGGCGGCGGCGGCTGCAGCGGCGGCGGCGACGGCGGATCGCCCCAAGGCCGCGTGCGAGAAGCGCGAGCTCGAGTTTCAGATACCGATACTCACGGCGCCGGACCAGAGCTGCTCCGAGAGGTGCGAGACGATTCTCGAGGGCGAGAGGATCTCGTGCTTCGTGGTGGGCGGCGAGAGGAGGCTCTGCCTGCCGCAGATACTCAACACGGTGCTGCAGGAGTTCTCCCTGCAGCAGATCAACCAGGTGTGCGACGAGCTGCAGATCTACTGCTCGCGCTGCACCGGGGATCAGCTCGAGGAGCTCAAGCACTCCGGGATCCTGCCGCGCAACGCGCCGTCCTGCGGCCTCATCACTCAGACCGACGCCGAGAGGCTCGTGAGCGCGTTGCTCCTGCGGACAGAGTCCTGCGACCCCTCCCAGATCGGCCCGGCGCCGGACTGCCTCGACAAGAAGGCGTGCAAGAGCGAGGAGCAGGAGGAGACGATTGTCAAGTTCAAGGTGTACCACGAGTGTTTCGGCAAGTGCAAGGGCATCTTCGATGCGAAGCTGTTCGAGACGGACGAGTCGGTGTGCATCGAGTGTCTGGAGTGCGGCTATCAGTTTTCCCCCCAGCGCTTCGTGCGCCACGCTCACAGATCCCTGGAGAACCGCACCTGTCACTGGGGCTTCGATTCCGCCAACTGGCGGTCGTATCTGTTGCTCTCCCGCGACCAGCAGCACTACAACAAGTCGCTCATCCTCTTTCGGGAGCTCAAGGAGAGGCATCTCGTGCTAAACTCGAAGCGGAAGCTGGAGGTATCGTCGCTTGATACATTTTCTATGTGGCAATAAGATATTAACTTGCAAATGCGCGCTTTAAAGTGATACATGAAATTAACGTCGCTCAATGTATCTGGAAAGTGTTATTGATCCAGATATTCATTTCAGCTGCGGCACGAGCACGAGAGATTGGCCAAACGCACAAAGAAGGACCTAGGGAAGGACGAGTGCGCTGGAATCTACAACGGCAACGGATTGGCAATGTACCATCCCGTATCCCAAATCGGCCATGAATCGTACCTGCAGATGCAATGGGCGGTCTTCGAGCTCGCTGCCAGAGGCGCGGCTTTTCAACCTTGGAATGCTACGGGCAATTGCAAGCACAGGGACAAGTAAGCATGGCGTTGCTGCGTACCGAGCATTTCACCAATTTTTCGACTCTCGCTTTAGAAGCGCGCGCGCGAGGTGATTCGCCGAGTTTTATTCCCGTTTCTATTCCCTGCAAACCTCCCTTGCGAACTCGCGTTCCATTTCTTTCTTGTGCAACACACAATTGAGGAATTGAAGAAATTATCGCTTCCAAAATGCCGCTTGCTTAAAAGACTGGCGATCTCAAAAGCGTTTGTATTGTAGTGTCCTATTAAAGTTCTGAAAGCAACTGTTTTCCTCCCCAATTTTCAAATTAGTTTGACTCTTTAATTATGAATCGGATCGTACTACGATCCGATTTGTGTATTAACATCTTTTGCTCCAGATTATCTCAGGGATGCCTTGCCTAAGCGGGTGTAAAACTTTGTGTCTCACTCTACACGTACACGCACGGACACACACACACACTCGCGTTATCCTCAGAGTTGCACATACGTGCAGCAAAATCCAAAGTACAAGTGTCACGAGCGGATCGGCTAGCGCGACTATGTAAACAACTGTGACGATTTTCGGAATGATTTTCGACGTATCGCATTAATTCTAATTCTCTCTTTTCACATTGTTTCGTCCAGTTTTTCTCGCACACGCCAAATTCTTAAATCTTTATAGCTCGGTAAGAAACAATATATGAGAAACCGCCAATGTGTGTCACAAGGCAAGATGTAGGTAGCCCAACTTGTAAATCTTAAATCTTTCTGAAAATCGTGAATTTGCCCCAGTTGTCGAGCTGGCTAAGACGCCTGTCATGGATTGAGGGAGGTCCCAGGTTCGAATCCTGGCTGGGGTAATATTTTTCGCAATAAAAATTAAAATAATAATATATGAATAAGGCTCCAATAAAAATATATATAATCAATTAGTAGAAGGTAATATGGGCAATGTGAGCCGTCACATGATCTTAGGTGAACGAAATTAATGCAATATAAGGAGAAATGTTATATATTATAAAATTTCGTAGCAAAACTGTTATATAATGTAGGTTTCGTACGTTTCGGTCACGACAAGTGATATTTATTATACTGATTATACCAGTATAATAAAGACCAAGACACAAGTCACATCGTAGTCATTAGATTCCGCCTTCTCTTCTTCTTCAGACATGACTATGGCTCTTCGATACCAGAGAAAGTGTCGGACTGCCAACATGTACTTTGACATAGGAGATGAAGGCGAGATATTATATATCTGACCATATTATTCTAAAGAATTTTCAAATACATTAGCGTTCCTAGCGTTGTTGTACTCGTCGGATCGTTCCGCGGTACATAGAATAATAAGTAACTTCAGGTCATCCAAATGTTTCATATCATCAATCTGATTGTTTACTAAATTTAATTATTGTATAGCTGAAGAGGGTCACTTGTTTTAAATATACGAAACTTTTATTAATTTGACACTAACACCGCGCCAAGGCTTTCAGCTCTTTTATTCTTTGACATTTTATTCGTTAGAGCCGTATTGTTCTAATAATAATTGAATCGAATACGTGAACGTTATGTCCGAAAAAAGAAATCGGCGCGTAGAACTAATGTAAGAAACAGTATATAGATTCACGATTTTCAGAAAGATTTAAGATTTGCAAGTTGGGCTACCTACATCTTGCCTTGTGACTCACATTGGCGGTTTCTCATATATTGTTTAGTTTTAGATAGAGGTCTTACGTGAAAGTTTATTTTTCAAGGGTGTTTTACAATTAGAAACATTTCGAATGTCAGATCTGGTGTCGAAAAACGACGATTCCACCACTAAACATTCAAACAGTCCTGCTCTAACTGCTCTAACGAGACATAGAGATTAACGCGAATGTCGTGTTTTGTCAACAGTTCTTCGTTGGTGCCTGCGTATCTCAGTCGAGGTCCACCCGTACTGCAACATCCCGAGCGAGTCATTCCGCTTTCGGACTGCGAACGTTTCGAACCACATTTCCAACCTAACGTGGCATTGGCGCCTATACCGGCACCCGCGCAGATAAGTCAGATACCGCCGTCCTCGTCTGTTCATCAGCAACGACGACATCATCACGAACACCGCCGTCACAGTCACCGCTCGTTGAGTCCCACGTGCGACAAACAGGAGTTGTTATCGGCCGCCAGTGTTAAAATTGAGAAAACATCGAGTCAAGCGTCGGCCATCGGTTCTTATCCTCTGTACTACATGTCGGACGAAAATCAGAAGGAGGCGGCGCTGCCTCAGGACAGGAAGGACAGGAAGGACAGGAAGGAGAAGGAGGGCGAGGAGGAGGAGAGCAGCGCGGCGGTTACATCGTCCACCGTAAGCGTGGAACCTACGCAGCTGGCGGCCTCCTCCGAGGTCGGCACTTCGTCACCGTCGGAGAGCGATTCCGAGACGGACGGCGCCGCGGCGGAGGCGGATCTCAAGAAGCGGCTAAAGGAACTGAACGTGCCGCAGGATGTGATAAATCTGGCGCATCGCGTGGCGCTGGTGAACGCACAGCTGCGGCGGTCGTATGTCCGTGAAATCTCCAAGCTGCGCAGTGAACTGAACATGCATAAATTGCAGCAGCAGCAGCAGCAGGAACAACAGCAGTCTACCGTCGCCGACGTAGTCGACGTCGCCGACGACGCGAGTCAGGACAAGGAGGACGAGACAGGGACGACGCCGACGGCGCCGCGTTCCAGCGCGGCCGACAGCACCGAGGGCGGCAACGAGGAGGCCGACGCTGCGAGTTTACCGTCGAACAATAAAGAGTCTGAGCCCGCCAACGTGCCGACTAATAACGAGTCGGATCAGTGATTAGGATAACGCGCAAGTTATTTAACACGCATACACCCACAACTGCTCAGCGATTACCGTGACGACGCTCATCCGTTGGCCGAATAAGCTACGTACTGACTTTAGTACTTTAGATACATATATATTATATATAAATACATATATATTTACGATTCTAAACTAAACGATAAACTGTCTAGGTTTATGTGATATGCGACAAGCCTTTAAACGTTATCGCAGATAATTCGGAGTTTGTATTAGGTAAGAGAAACACGTGCTGTCCAACTCAAAACATCGGGCTGGTGGAGTCCTCGCGCCTCATACTCGTGAAATTCAAACCGACCAACCGCTATCAGCGAAAACAGCTTGCCTTCCACGCCTGTCGATAGCTGCGCGCGATACGTCCTCTTCCTGTTTACATTTTAGTGTTCCGTGGATAACGAAAAACAAAACAAAAACAGTACACGTCCATTTTCGAAACGAACTTTCGGCTTTGGTCGAGTCTGCGATGCCGCGAAAACAAACATGTTGCTCCGTTAACACTTCGTCTCCCAGCCATGGACGATGTTAGCGGATTTCGAAAGAGTGATACTCCCGGTGGGAGATGTGGCAAACCGATGCCACGAGTTGGACAGCCACGTCACGTATACTTGTATCGGTCGATTTTTTTATTAAAATCGAATGTAGATATTGTACTATATTGAAACAGGAGAGGGGGGGAGTAGATTTAATGGATTATACCGCGCCAATGAAAACGATTAACACTTAAGAGGGTATTGTATAATGAGGCATTTCGTATATATTAAATATATACGGGGTGTAAAGCGAGATTTTTACTATATAATTCTGATCCTCGAGTATGCGAGTAACAAGAGAGGACGAGAAAGAATGTGCGTGCGCGTGTGAGAGATTTCTAGTGCGAATGAATTTAGATTGCTTCCCATTTACATCTCGGTAGTCATGATCGCATAATGTAAATACATTGTGGCATCATAGGTGTACGTTTATAACTAATTACAGTATCATGACGAAATAATGTTAAAGTACAAAAAACCTAGGTGCTATACTGTTATTCTAGGTATGCTGTAAGCATAAAAACCTGGGTGTGTTCCAGCAGCTCGTACTACATTGTAATGCCCAGAACGTTATATACACGTTCCAAGACAGAATCGCTACTAAACTCTTGTGATTAACGCGTAAAAATAGGATCTGCTTTTTTATTCGACGAAAAAGCTCGGTCCAAGCCTAATCACGTCAATAAGAAAGTGAGGGGGGGGGGAATTTGCGTTTTCGAAAATTATTTATTTGGTACGTGCAGTAGGACCATAAACTCGAATCGTTGGTAGTAACGTATTTGATTGCGCTTGAATTTCCAATCGTTTACGTGTTTGTCGAATCGTTTAATTTATTGGTGGCATAAGAGAAAAAAAGTGATTTTTACATAATAGATCGCTTATATAACGGATCGCGGATGATCGTATAGTCATGTTGTTTTTTTTCCTTTTTTTCAAAAATGTTCTAAATATTTTCTTAAAAGTGTATATGCTTTTTTTTCGGAATCGCGGCTAAAAGCGTAACGGGAATTTTATTGATCGAATCGTACGTGTGGACACGTACTGTATATAATTTCTGTTGACTACAATGTTTTGTTATTAATATATGATATTTTTACGAAGATTCGCAGCTGGGGAACCCACATTTTTAATATATATATAAATAAATATATTTATTTTGTACATATATTATTGTTGATACATATCATTTTAGTTGTATTTAATATATATATATATGAAATGGTCCTACTGTGTGAGCGAGAGCGAGAGCGAGAGAGAGAGAGAGAGAGAGAGAGAGAGAGAGAGAGAGGGAAAGCGAGAGATACAGAAATTGTGGCCGTGCTCGGATAACGTTGCCAATTTTGTCAACATCGAAATATTACCTAAAGAGAGAAACATTTTAAGGAGGAGAGAGGAAAACATTATCAGCTCTGACCGCGATTTCTATGTATCTCTCGAGTTTTTAGCAGAGACCGAGTGTTAAATTGTACTGGACATAATTTGTCTGTATGTGGACACTTTTTGTTCGTTTTTTTTAAATTTCTGTACAGAGATTCGAAATTGATCGCTGGGACTGACGATGCAGAAAGAAAGAAAGCACAGATTATTTTTCCTGCATGAGAATACTCCATATATATATACGAGAATGTCCGTGTATCGAATTATATTATACGCCACAATATAAAGGGAGAAATAGATTTTTTTAATATATTCGTACGAAGTATAAATTGAAGTATATATTGAAGCATGAACGAGCAAGCAAGATAGTATATGCACGTGTAAAAGAGGATGTAGATACGGAAAAGAAATCCATATAAACGATATATATATATATGGATATATATATATATTTACGCAAGAGGGTAGTTTTCTTACGGATTCTGTTGTCATTTATTATATATACAATCGAGAAATGTGTGATAGAAATGTTTGCCTTTTGTCCCTCATTACTTCTTTTTCTCTTTGCTATATTACGTTACGCTCTTCATTTTTGTCGTCTGAATATTTTTACCAAGTATACATGACGGAATTCCCAGTGATACGATACAACAATCTTCGATTTAAATTAGATCTATCACTCGAGTGTATTTGTAAAAGTGGGCGTACACGAGCGAGCGAACGAGCTGCGAGGGTAAACTCTCTCTGTTGAAATTTCAAAGGTGTTGCAAACGGAACAGTTTGTTAACGTTGCTCTCGCGTTTCCGAGCCGATTGAAGTGAAGAAGAAGAACGTCAAAAGGTGGTGCCGAGGAGACGGTAAATTCTCACGTTTTCGCTGCCCGTTCGCTCGGCCCGTGTCCACTTGAAAGGGGTAATCTTGTCTTTTAAACCGACTGAAATTGTTTTCGAGATATATTTGCGTGTGCCCAAGTGCAGGATACGAGAAACTGACACGGGGGATTGTATAATGGACGCTCGCGCGTCCGTGCGTACACGTCCCCGCGGTCAGCGATATGATAGTCACGACAACGTAAACCGTACACACTTGCATTATATTTCCATTGTGTAGCAAAACATGATGATGATTATTAAATACACGATTGTGTATCGAAAGTATACACGCGTATATACATATGCCGAGACTGCTTCGACGAAGATCTCTTATCGTACGTATACATTTGTCTCTTTATCTCTTTTCTCTTGTTTCTTTTTTTTTTAAATATAACTACTGCAGTGCCAGTGACTTTTGCATCGGGCAAACGAAAAGAGGGAAAAATTTGACGAGAGACAGGCGAGAGAGATTGGCGCTTTCGATGCGGGAAAGAGAGAACGAGAGAAAGAAATGGGCTAATCGCGGATACTCTGGTGTGATTTCGATGGAGTAAATGTTAGATTTTCAAAGCAATCTGTTAATATAGAGCTGACGATGTAGAATAGAAAATACATTCATTATATATACATATATAAATATATGCCCTATGTAACATTCGGTCAATATACATAAGATACGTTACATTGTGTGTGTAATGTTACAGTTAAGATAAGGCATCCCACCTAAAGTATAAAAGAATGTAATAGTCTCTATGTTTTTCATACACGTACATGCATACACACACTCAGTTTATCGTAGAGTTTACCTAGGACGTAAAGAGTAATGGATAAATTCGTAAATACCTAAATATGATACAGCTCGGTTTCGAATACGCTTCAAGTCTGCGTATAGAAAAGGGGGGAGGGGGGGAAGTAGGGAGAGACGAATTTCTCGGTTTCGGCGAATCGTGTAAACTGCCATGACTTAAAAAGATGTATTTCACTTTCGCGGGGACGTATGTATAATCATTTTCGTGACGAAGAAATATGCTGTGACAATTGCAAGAAGAAGTCAGGGAGTGCGTACGATGCCCGGGTCTAGGAGAAGAGAAGGATTCTAGGATCGCGAGGCTATAATTAATTAATTGGAGCGTTATGCGCTGCGATATTCAAGATGCATGCTTGTATAATATAATTATCGCTCTGTGTGTCGAGCCGTTGCCGAAGACCGTTGAAGCTCCCGGGAGCAGACGTCGGAAGTGATTTTTATCTCGTGCGCTTCGCTAACATCATCTCTGTTGTTATCATATATTTAGTCTGACTTTCGAAAACACGGATTGTAAGCGCTAGCTGATACGACCTACCACGTGTGCGTGCGTGCGTGTGTGCGTACCACTTCGTGTCTATCTCGCTCGATAGTGTGATTAGAAAGAAAAAATGTCGTTTCTCCCGCGGCACATTCGACCGAAATCGCGCGGATTTTCGTCCGACAATCTCGGCGCCGATGACGCGCGCGCGTTATCGGCGATATCATTATCGTCGAATACGCGTGTACCCGACGTACATACACGCACCGCGTCGTTCTATTTTTGACTTATTGGCGAAAACAAGAGAATCGTGAAGGCGAGATCGCGCGCCCGTTCGATACAGGCGTGTGCGACACACGCATACGCGCATACGCGCGCGCCGAGGAGGAAAATAAGCTATTCGAATAGACGATAAGGCGTGTATGAGCGCTTGTGCGATAACAAAATAAACGGGCCGATGCGATTTATCGTTTGCGTAGCCGCGCTAAGGCGAGGGACTTTGCTCCGCGCCACTTACAATTAGCGGAAATTCAAATAGTGACCTATAATCGGCGATATCATCTGTAACGCGACGACCCGAAATCTCTGCACTCTGCGTTCCGCTCGTAGAGCAATCCCGTATCTGCGTCGCGGTGGCTACAACCATCTCGGGCCTGACGAGTGTCCGGGAGACGCTTGCGAGAACGTCCCCTCGAGCGTGCGAGATTCTTTTCGAAATGTCACTTATAGCGAATTCGATTGCTTGCGCTAGTGCACACTGGGCGCACACCAAGACTTGTTTATAGTCCATTTTTTTTGTTTCACTACGTTTAACGAATATTTAATCAAAAAAATGATCGCACTAGCATCCACATGGACGCTATACAGATCATTTTATTGGCTACGAAATATTTCAAGAGGTATTTCAAGAGGTATTTAAGACGAGTCGTAAATATCAGAATTGACTGTGAACAAACCTTAGTGCGCACTCAGCGCGCACTAGATATTCTCCGAATGTCCTGCATCTTTGAGACATTGTTCAAACATTTTCCGGGCGTCTGGACTTTTTAAGACGCCCTTTAAACATCCTTTAGATGTTCTAAATTTTTTAGATATCGTTTAGCCGTCTCTTCGGGCGTTTTAAAAGTTTTCAGCGCCTTTTAGATACCTTTTAGATGTTCTTTAGGAAACGTCCTAAATTTTGGAGGCGTTGTCTAGACACTTTGTAGACATTCTAAATTTTTAACGTTACCTAGGTACCTTTTTACGACGTCTAGGCAATTTTTTTATCGTTTCGAGTACGAGACGCTATTGTCTGACATTGTTATTTAATTTATCGGTGGAAATCGCGGTAATTATTTAATAACGCATCGAGAACGCGTCGCGCGAGCTCAAGGGTGAGGAAGGAAGTCTAATGAGATTTTTTTTGTACGCAGCATAGTTTATCTTCTCAACTTTTATACATATATAAAAGTTAAGAAAATATATACATATATTATATTATATTTATAATATATGACATATATTATGAAAAAAAAAATATATATGCTCTTATTTATTGCATCGATCTGAAAAGAACTCTGTCGCGCATTAGGATAAAAGGACAACTCGCGACTGCGCTAGGATTTATAATTCTTAAGAACTCCAACGTGTCATTGAACTACACACAACAAAGTGCAATACGAAAGTACAAAGTCTGACCTCCTGTTCTCTCGAATTTTATAAATCCCCACCCACGGGAGGGCGAGAGAAGAAGAAGAAGAAACGAAGAGAAACCGATCGATCGCTCCTCTTTAAATGTTTTACGCCCCCGCGGTCGCGAGAATCGCGGGGGCATAATAAATTAGCGACGATGAGCGCCCCGGCTCTCCTACGCGGCTTACACGAGATCTTATCCACCGCGATCGTATCTCCGCCGCGGATAAATTTACCCGGATAATACAGTGAAACTCCATTTTATAAGAGCTCGGCCCGCTCGTTCTCGAAGTTTCGTCTTCGCCGTGGATATGTAGTTGCGCTGTATTATTTAAAAAAAAAAAATAGGGATGATTTTGTACCGAATCGATTTTGTACCTATTTCACAGCCATACATATTGTACACACACACACACACAGACACACACACGGAATACACGTGCAAACGATCCTTCGTTAAAAGTCTCGCGATTTCTGTACGCCTGAAGCATACGAGTAGTATATATAGAAAAGCATTTCTACGGTCTCATATTAACCGGAGTTAACGTTAATGGTACCTAAAGTAGTCGATCCGCAAATCTAATGACTAAATATTCGGCACAATTACGATATAACTGTACATGTATATACGAATATTTTCCAGAAAGAGAAGAGACGAGAAAAACCAAGTAATACCCGCAATTGTTAAGCATAAGTCAGAAGAGCTGTTATATAGACAAGAACGAATATACCACCGTCGTTTATATTAATTGAATACAATAAAAGCAAGTTTCGAGCAAGATCCTGCGTGTACTTTGCCCAGCGCAGCGCCGTCAGCCGCAATTTTCCGCAATTTCATTTCAGTTGGACGAAAACGACACTCAAATTTCTCCTGCTACTTTATTATTTAATTAGTTGGCAAACGCTTTCATTGAACGACAAGTTTAATCGGAAGAGGATACTTGGGTAATTATCGCTTTCTGTTTATTACACTCTTTTCTTCTTTTTATTACGCGTTGTCTGTTTTAAGTTTCAGTTATATTTAGAGAAAGGCTTCAAATGTTGCTTACATTTAGATTTAAATACTGAGAGATGAATGTTTAACCAGAGCAATTTATTTCTTATATTTTTCATCGTTGTAAGTAATTATTTTATTTCCAATTTATACCATAACGTCTGTATTTATGTAACTTGCCCCTTTGCCTGTGCCAATTAAGAGAGAGGTTAAACAAGAATTGAGATACGTGGCTCTCGGTGCCGTCTAAAAATCGTCAAGCTTATCAGGGTAACAGGATGGGCGAGGAGGTTATGAGAGGTGGCAGGAATGAAATCCAATTTAAATGTCGCGCCCTCTAGGGGATGATAATTCGGAAGAGGTGCGAGGTGCTTTGAGGTTCTCAGGTTGCCGGACGTGACGCCGGCGGGGCGCGAAATTTGAATCGAATTTCATTTCTGCCACCTCTCGTAACCTCCTCGCCCATCCTGTTACCCTGATAACTCCGATTTTTCGAAACCTGAGAGACACGTGCTTCAATCTCTCTCGCCTAACCTCCTTCTTGCGGAACGGGAGAAAGAGAGAGATGGGACGAATTCGCGTAAATACAGGTATATATTTTTAAATATAATTAAAGATGAAATGACATAATTGCAATAGGTATCTTTTATTCTTGCATGCCTACGAACTTTTCTTGACTCTCCGAGGGAAACTCGAACCAGAAGCAGCCGAGTCGGTCGAAAATAGACCGTGCAACGTCTACAATACATTTTTACGGCAGAAAGCTCGTGGAATTGATGCAGAAGTTGCGCGGCGTGTGGTTGATGGAGATTGAAATGTGACGGCGAATTGACAGCGAAAACTGAGCGGCACCATGTCATTAACGGATTAACAGCAGAAATCTGTGCGCGTTCGATAGATATTCTCGTTTGCAAGCTCGTGGCTGGTTCGTAAGCTGACAAGCTCGATTGAATGCACAGTAAACTTTTTAATCAAATCTTTCTAACTGTTGACAGCTTGCTTGCTGAACTTGGCGGTGTCTGTTTTTCCTACGAAGAGACGTCTATAAAAATTGGAGCTAAAGCGAAAGGTAAAGAATAGTAGTGGACAAACTGAAAGACCACCACTTTTGAAGGATAAAATTCTTCGTACGACATGATTTTCTTCTCGAAAGGCAAAGGTAATCATTGTGAACTCAAAGAGAATTCACTTTTTAAAATTCCTTGTTGAATTAGTTGAATTAATCTGTTAAAAAGAAACTCAAAAGAAATTTCTCTCGGTAGTTGAAAGGATTCTAAAGAAGGACGTCTTGTGGAAGAGAAAAATTCTGAATGCAAAGAGGATTCCTGTCTCGTCGAAATCGAAGAGTTCAGATTGGTGACGTAAGGACGAATTGTTTTTCAATTCTTTAGATAAACGGGACGGAGAAAGAATCAATTTCATAAATCGGCAGGTCAGAAAGAATTCCTTTCGGATTCTTCGAGTTGTTACTGCAACTTGGTGTTTATTTGTACCATTTATATATGAATTATTCCTACATACACATGGTCTCTACGCTAACGTATTATATTTTTAGTGTCCGCGACACCTTGAAGCCCGAGTTGAATGCGAGTCTTCTCAGAGAGCAGAGTGTCCGATCTCGTCGGAGCGGAGTCGTGAAAATTTAACGGGAACCGGCCACGGGATCTCATATCGTCATCCCGTAGCGCTCTCTACCTGCCGTGTCCAGGATTAATTCGCAATCGCCGTGTCCTGGGCCCCGAGGACCCGTGAGAACCCGACGGTCGACGGGAGGGAACGCGGAGAACGCGTCCAATCGCCGTTGCGGGAGGTGCGCCTCGGTTCCATCGTGGTCGCGCGGCGGCCAGATTTCGGTTTCAATCCGAGGCATTCTCTCTCCTCGGCACCGCGTCCTTCCGCGCGAATCTCCTCGGTGTAACACACATACATACGCACACGCATACATATATATAGCCGCGGCGAGAGATCGGACGCGCGCATTCCGCAGGAGGCGGGTGGTCGCCGCGCTGGAGATGTAAGAGATTCCGGAGCGTGGTCCGCGAACGAGCCGCAGAATGGCCTTCCTGTGCCCCGTACGCATACGTCGCGGAAAGAAGAAGAAACGTAAGTAAACGGCACGCGAGCCGTAAGAAAGAGAGCGAGAGAACGAGGAAACGGGACGCGGAGGGAGAGAAGGGAGGACACCGAGGGCATGGCAGTTCGGTCGCGAGGGCCAGTTGTCACATTCGGCCCGATCACCTGTTGCTCGGGACCGGTTATGCAGCTTCGGCCGCCCCGTAGTCTCCGCGAAGCGAGCCGGAACAGAGTTCACGCGCCGATTACGCGCGACTTTCGATTTTTCGCCCCGTCGGGAAATGCGAGATCACCTGCTCGTGGAAACGTTACGTTCTAAAGTCGATCGCTGTTACTGTCGATTTGCCGAGATGCGCCTGGTCGTTTTTACCGCGGTTAAAGTAATTTTTATCCCTGCATCTCGCAAGCATACGTCAGAAATGACTCTCGTAATCTTAAGGATGTATATCTCTCGCGGAAATTGTATTATTAAAAATTTTCTACATACTTAAAAGATATGTTCGTACGTAGAAATTTTATAAAATTATTAGACAAGTTGATAGACGAATTTTATTCGCTCGAGAGTTCTGTGTAAATTCGCTCGCACTTATGGTAACTTATTAATTTCCAATAGCCGGAACACACAACTTCAACTTGGAGAAAGACTGCGGCACGGGAGGCTCAGGACTTGGCTTGGGTACCAGAGTGCCATTACCCCCTGGTCGGATAACTGGAAGCGCGAGCATTGAGACTCTCGTGAGGGTCGGCATTGAAAAGGAGAATGGACTCTCTCCGGACAGTAAAATGGTCATTGTTCATGACTTTACCCCCTGCGTGGACGATGAACTTCAAGTCAAAAGGGGCCAGGTCAGCGACTGACTCGCGAAATTGTTCTTCGGCGGTTCTTTGTTCAATCACGTATAAGCTGCATGCTGTTTGTATCACTCGCGTAGCAATTTCCATATGTAATACGCGCAATTCTTTTTTTATCTCACCTTTCGCCCGCGTAAAAAAATTATACAATCGCACGCGATAAAAAAGAACAACATTCGTTAGGAAAATAAGATTATACCGATATCGGAATCTTTACATTTCAGGTAGTGAACGTGCTTTACAGAGAAAACGATTGGGTGTACGTAATAGCGGCCGACACGCGTATGGAAGGCTTCGTGCCGCACTCGTATTGCGCACCGTACACGTCACAGCTGGCGGAATTAACGCTGGCCAGTCTGAACAATGTGAAGAAGAAGCTGCCGCGGTCCAGCGAGAACGACTGCGATCTTCTCAGCACGGGCCGCCTGCAGGAGACGCAACAGACCGACACCGGATCGGCCTCGGATTGCGAGAGCTACGCGCGAAATAACATCACCACCGCGGACGTCAATCGCTCTAACATGACGCAGTCCCAGAACTCCATACAGACCATTTCGTCCCAGCCGGACGTGCATCCCTTCTTCAAGGTTGTCCGGCCGATTGCCATAAAGATATCTAACTTTTAATTTAATAGTCCACCTTCCCCCAATTATGAGATAGGCTCCTAATATGATATAGCGGGGGTTTCCATTAAATTAATAGGCATCTGTTGATTCCACCATGAATTTACGCACATATACTCGATGCCCTTGCAGTGAAATCTGCTTGGTGGGAAATTCACTGTTAGATTGTGTAATCGTTGCGAAAGAAGATTTGCGATTGAATTTGGGTGTTAGAAACCTGCCATCTCATAAGAGAAGACTTTCCTCTATACCTCCGAGCGTTAAAGACGTAAATTCGAATTCTCAAATCAATTGAATTAATCCGACAACAATTTTTAATTTCTTTGAATGAACCAAGTGATCGCGCATTTATTACGGCGCTCGTTATTTGACGAAAGACCCGTCAGCAAGAAATTCTGTTGTCCCGCAGGATCCCTCAGCCGGAAGGTACATCGTTCTTTACACGTTCGTGGCGCGGGACGAGAACGATGTCAGCGTCGAGCGAGGCGAATTCGTGACCGTGCTGAACCGCGACGATCCAGATTGGTTCTGGGTGCTCCGGCATTGTGACGGCAACGAGGGTTTCGTGCCGTCCGGTTTCGTCTATCCTGGCCACGTACTTCATTCTTACGCGACGGCCACCACGACGGTCACCACTGCCACTACAAATACAGCGTCCGCAGAGGCTCACAGTCCAGGTTGGCTCTTTATCGAATCACCAAATTGTCTACACGAATCTCGGGAAAATTTGCTAGGATACTTATGTATGTATATCAATGATCAAAGACATCAGTAAAGTCTGTAGCTTCTGTCTCTAGTAGGGCTACAATTGTTATACATCTTCAATATCGACTTGTATTAACAGTGTTCATCTTGCAGGCAAAGGCACGGGGAACAATATAACGGGAAACGAGTCATTGCAGCAGAAAGGAGTGCGAGATTTCCGGGACGAGACGACCGGCACGGAATTAGTGGTCCTTTACGATTACAAGGCGCAGGCGCCGGATGATCTGTCGGTGAAGCGGGCCGATTGGATATACGCGGATCTGGGAAATCAAACGGTGGAAGGCTGGCTCTGGGCTTACGCGCCCAAGACTCGCAAGTACGGTTTCATTCCTAAAGCGTACGCGCGGCCCCCCGCTATGACTAGCCTATGATCCGGACTGTTAGAAAAGGAAAGAAACCTTTACCACTTTAAGTAAGTTTGCAATACCGTCCATTGTACCGTCCTTTTATCTATCGTATGCCATCAAGTATATATATATGTAAAGAGCGAGGAAATTAATATTTTATTATATAAATATCTACGTCCCATCAGATTGGTAGTCGGATGATGCGAAATGGGAGGTAAATTTAGCTTAGGCGAAAAATGCAGGAATGTCTTTAAGAAATAAACGAGAGATTGCGCGCGATACGAGACGCAATTCCTTCAGACCTTTCGTTCACTGTATCCATTGTTCCTATATGTTCCTTGTAATTTATATTAGATTAGCTTACACTTTCAAGACAGTCACTTAGACAAAGATATATACGTGTTGACGGAACAAGTTTAGTGTACAATGACATTTACATTAAGACTGGTACAGCCGGAAGTGATGTGACTGATCAATCCTTCGTGGAGAACTATACAGTCGCCGGCCAAGAAGACATCACGTGGACATTGAGCGACTCGCAGAGAAGTCACAGGGCCCGTGTACGTAAGCGATCGAAATCCCCCGTTTTCGATGCTGTCGACGGCCTGTCGGTCAAACGGTTCAAATGTCATTATTGATCGCTGATATTCGCCTTCGTCACACGCGAATCGATCCGGCGTGTACCTGGATACTACATCGAAGTTTGTCAGCTGTATCGCCGACGTCCAATCCCGCCACCCAGGCGATGATCATGTCCTTCTCGCATTGACCCTCTCCGCCGGCGTGCACTTCCTCGGAACACGCGTAATTACGACTACTGTGCAAACGCGCTGCCAACACCGGCAGGGGCAATCGATTCCGATACTTGGGGTTTATATTGAGGTTGCTACCGAACAGTCTCGTTGAGGAATCTCTTATTGTTGTAGAAAGTTCTACGATTAGTGATTGACTTAGGCGCTGTTTATAATCAACATTAATTACGAATATTGTGCGGCTTGTCTAAGAAATTTCTCTCAATTTTAAATCGATCGCAAGTCAGATCTGTTCGACATGTTTTATTTAAAAAGACCATTTGTTTTAGGAAATATGTATATTGAATGCACCACCTCTGTGTACTATTTATACGACGACAGTGTACTAACGAGAGCTTTCCGGACACCAGTAAGAGAGCTAGACATCGACTGGAGTTGCAGGGCAGCGCTCCGTAGCTGATGATAAGCGTTCTCTCGGCGCCGGGCTCAACACAGAGGAGAGGCACCTCGGGATGATCGAAGAGGAAGTGATTGGTGAGCGCCGAGAAGGCGACGTTCACCGAGCAGTCCAGGAGCGGGCAGTGTATGGGTCTGCGGGAGCAATCGGCTGAGGAACTTTTGACCTTAATCTCGGAGGCGTATCGATCCGACGCGCTATTTCCCGTCGTCGTCATCAGATTGCAATAGCTGTGTTGCTGTAGGCACTGCCTCCCGCGGCTTTCCGCTTGCTCCACTCGCCGCGGATTGCCTCGATCGCGATCGGCGACGTACGAAACGGCGTCCGACTCGTAATCCACCAACTCGTTCGTCATCTCGATGGGCGCAGCCCTATTAAAGTTGCAAGCCCACTGATCGCGACGCGGGTTGCCCGTTCTCGTACGTACGCGATCGCCGCGATCGTTGCCTCTGCCCTGGAAGAAACTCGCATGCGATCTTCTAGGCTGAGGGTCCATATCTAAGGAATATATGTCTTTCTTTTCAGGCAGTACTTGATTTCGAAAACCTAACGACGACGACTAATCAGCACGTGTTCAGCGGCTTTCGCCGATTAATTATCGTCACTTGATTTATTATATTTATAAATGTTTTAAGACTTTCTTATTTTATTACAACGTTGATTCTGCTTTGCAACGCGGGAAGAAATAAGTACCAGCTGCAAGGCTATTCGGTTAAAGGTATAATTTTAAAGAGACTATTGTGTACACGTCGAGTTTGTTGAATAGAAAATTTCCTGAAAATCTTACAACTTTTGCGTTTTTAGGTTTCTACAATCTCTATAATGATAGTTAAAATGAATATTTTATCGACCTGCTCGGAATGAAAAGTTTCGTACGCAACGTTGACACAGCAAATAGCCCTCGGAGTCGGCGACCCTTCCACCGAGATTCGCGTCGTCGATGTTAATGTGACAAATCGCGCACTGCCCAATCTGCGCAGTTTCCTGCTCGTTTACGTTCGCTTCTACTTCGTTTTCTTGGTTTGTATCTACTTTCTGAACTTTTGTGTCCTCCTCCTCGCTCCGATCTTCGTCGATTCCCTGTTCTTCATCTTCCGCCTCGTCCTCCGTAGCCTCGCAAGAGATTTCCTTCCTTTTCTGCACTCTGTTTTCGTTGTCCGAATACTTTCGAACAAGATGAAGATAATTTAATCCCTACAACGCGATAGATAAGTCAAATCTTACCATTTCTTTTTCATCCAAATAACGAGTCTAGCGTTAATTTAATAATCGATGTAACATCCGAGAAAACAGTGTTTCTGTTTGCTCGGAGTATTATTACAAGCAAATTTACCAAAATAATTGTATGTACAGTTTGTATTGGTAAATAACGTTTGTAATAATTAGCTTTCGCAAAAAATAGATTAGTCTCTCTGTAACTTTACAGAATTTACTCCTGTCGAGGGAACCGCGTTCGTGATTACAATCGATTGAAAAATATGTTGGAACGTATTTTCAAAAGTTGTGTTAAAGTCGAGGATCTACAATCTTCCTTATCGAGTAAATTTTGTGATAACCGATTGCGATTTGCGTTTTTGTTGTCCGCAGTCTCGTGCGTACAGATATCACATGCCTTGCGATGATTATTTATCACGCGGCCGTCGGCTTTGGCGGCTCTATAATCAACCCTCTCGTCCGTTTCTTCGCGAAGCATCTTCGACAGCTCTTATCACAATTCTGATAACCTTTCGTGTCTCTGCGATCGGCCGATCTTCGCCACGAGTGTCTGTCCACGTGATAAGTAAAATTGCAGTTTCCGGTGTCTGAAACTCGACTTGTGTCTATCAAGCAAAACATATCTTTATCACTTTTCCCCCTTTCATAAAACTTTTGATTATTTTATATTTTTAATAATGTAGATATGATCATCGCATTTCTCTTGGCGACTTCGTCATTTTCAAGTATCTTCATAACTAAACTCCCAATTAAAGTTAAACTGTCCAGTTGATACAAATTTAAAATATAGTTTAATTATCTATACTCGTTACTTCATTTTCAGATAACGGCTAACGGCCCCAAATTGACCAATTTGCTACCATGTTTTGTTGCTTGTCGATAAGCTTACCCAGATCCAAAGAGCTGATTTTCCCTCCTTAGCAATTATTGCTGCGGAATTTAAAACGGATTATTACGATATTACACGGGTAAGATATCGGCGACGGACTTTTGGATTTCCGAAGCGAAACTCGTGACGCGATGAGTTATTTGACGACCGATTGAACTCCAATTGTCAGGCGTTCTGAATTCGCGGTAATTTAGTTGAAGAGAATTTACACTCGTCAGAGCCAGAAAATGCTCGATACGCCACGGTATTTAGATCAGATGTATAAGGCCATCTTGACGTTTCTCGGAACAAAGAAGAAACAAGCCGCAACGATATCAGCGCAATATCGCTGTAAGAAAATTCGATGCCCGATTCATCGCGCTTTTCTCCCGCGGGTCTTAAAAATCGTTCAACCTTAACTTATATAGAAGTCTGTTTTTTACACGGGCGAAACGATACGCGATGTAGAGCCATTGACCTTTAGCTTTCGCGCTCGCTGTACAATCGATGCGTTCTGCCTCGATATCTATCTGTTTGCGCGGACCATGTCAGATATGTAGATATTTGTTATCTATAATACAGCTATCTCTTAAACGTATGAATTAAAAGCAGGTCGATAATCGTCGTCGAAGACTGGACGTTTTGCTCGTAGAAAAGCAGCGTATCTCGCAAATGTAGTTATTCTTTCTTTTTACATGAAACACGGAGTAATCGGTCGCGTGAATAAGACACACCCATGCGAATGGCTTGTTAAGAAACACGTGTTTTATTAAAAAAGCACATATTAAAAGATTAGAAAATAGTAAACGATAGATACTATGCGTACTTCGCCTGGTCGGTTTTTTTCAACAGCAGGTATATACTTGATCGAGACTGAGCGCGTAGATTTATATTTAATTAAACCGTGCTTGATACCTCAATGATCACATTCTTTGATCGCAATGCCGTAATTACGTTTAGTTTTAATACAAGTAAAGTATTCTACCTAACTAAAGTCCGTTACGATTTATATAATACACATCGTTAATTAACGTTGCAGCATACATTCGATAACTAGCAGCTGCACAATCTGTAGCGAAGCTACAGAAATGTCTTCCGTAACTCTTCGAAGAGCGCGAGGTTGTTTCAGAATGTTGTTAGAATTATGCAGAACATCGCTACGTTTCATCCCTGTACATTTCCCCCGAGCTTCTTGCAAACGACATTAACGATTCTCTACGTGTTAAACGCGAAAGAAATCACTTGTCGCAAGTGATCTATTTTATCATAAATCTTGTACTTATTTCTTAACGTCGACCGTCTTCGTGTCCGGACAATCGTTGACCAACTTGTGCCTCACGTTCGCCAATCTCTCCGCGCTGATCGCCTGTATATTACCCAGATGAGAATTATCCAAGTTAATCATGCTGCTACTCTTGCCTCTGAGCCCCGATAACACGGACGTTTGTCCGAAGAACGATAGTAACGGTAGCTCTTTAATACTGGCGGTTTTACTCGCAAACTTTTTCGAAATAGAACCCTTCTCCAGCTGGTCCGTGCTCCCAGCATTCAAGAATCTGGCGGACGACAATAGATTTTTTCGTTTCACCGGACTGGAATTGGCACTGCATGACGCACTCTTTTGCAGAATATTTGAGCTAGCTCGTGATTGCGATAACGCGGCATCGCCCCGCAAGCTCTTCGAGCGTTGGCTGACGCCGGGAGCCGCTACGACATGGTGTCCCGATGAACTAGATTTCGCAGGCAGGAACTCGATATTAGAAACTTGCGCGCTATGTAAATTCATAAGTTGTACATGGCTCTTATTGGCTAAAGTATCGTTTGTATCACTACATGATCGATCTCTTTCCGGTCCCTCTCTTACAACGTCAACATTGTTAGGGGCATTAATATCCCAGCTGCTCTGCGTTCTTCTATCCTTAATATTGAATCGGGAGATTCTGTTTGGCACGTATTTCGATATATCTGCGCTCCTCGCTCTCTCGGCGATCCCATTCTCGAAATTAGACGCGGCTCTATTCACTGGACTACTGTTCAGCGATTTTGAAGTATTGCTCTTCAGAGCGAGCGTCGACGCGCCGCGTAACGCCGTCGTCGAATCAATTGTCGTGCACGATTTTAGCAAGCGCGATCCGTCGCTAAATCCGCCCCTTTCGAAAGTCCCAGGATTTTCAGTCGAGCTTGAAAATTGATTGGAGCTACGCGTCTTTGACAATTCGGCGGACAAAGGATCGTAGCGCGTCCCGTTCACGGTGCCGGTTTCAATCGTGTCCCGCGGGTCGGAAGAACTTGGCGCGTCGCGCTCCTCGACGTGCAACGAATTCTCGATCGACAGGCGATTTAATTTTTCCATACTGGCTTGCAACTCGAGCTCCCATTGCGTGAACTTGCTCTCGCTGCCATCGACGGACCTCTTGTCAAGATGTTCCGCGTCGTTCTTCGTCGAGCAAAGCTTCTGTAAATTTCAAGCAGATAATAGAAACCAATAATTTCAATACTTTACAAGATCAAGATTGTACGTTTCACTCACCTCGATACCGTGTAGCTTTTCGTTGTTCCCGTTTTCGTTATATCTAATGGGAGATATTTTATGGCTATCAGGATCGTTGAACTCGCTCTTATACTTCTGACGCGTGTCTGAACCAATGAGTTCGGCGCCGACGCCAGGTTCTCGCGGTCCATTAGCCACGATATCTGAAAATGTTATATTTATAGAAAATAGGAGAAACAACTTGACACGCGTTTCTAAAATATATTTCACCCTACCGTAATCTCTTCGTCGCTGGTGTATCTGATTGCTAATTTCTTCCAACGTCCGCAGGCTCGTTGCATAATTACGTTTGGCTTCCTTAACAGCTTGCTGCAGGTACTCCACTCTCTCCTTCTGCGTCGCCAGCATCTGATCGCACTGGGTCTTCACCTCGAAGTACGGTCTCGCTTTCATTATTGCATTTCGATGCTTCTCCTCCAGTTGCAACAGCCTTTTCTCGGCGTCGTGGAACAGCATCGCCCGTCTGTGATGTTCTCGGCCGCACTCCGCCTTTTGATTGTCCGCGTCCATGACCTCCACAAAAAGTCTCATCTTATTTGGCTTGTCGTTTTTATCTTACGTCGTTACAGAAATCGATCATTGGTGAATTAATTAATGGTGGAACGGACTAAATAAAATGTAATGTCAGCACATTTCCGATAGGTGCAATACTTTGAAAGAAAATTACATGATTGCCGCGGTGTGCGTTTTCTAACTCTTATACTTACTTTAATAGTAGCATGATTGAGCATGTCCTGCCATGCCTGGTCAAAATTCCACTCATGCTGATGAGACATGAATCGCGCCTCGGCCACAGCGACCGTTTCCTTCGCTGCATTGTGAATTTCGCTGGCTCTTTGAAACAGCTGCGCCTGCTGTTGACACTGCACCTGTAAATTGCAAGAGGAAATGTCTCATTGCCTCACTTACATAACAGTTCAGTTAATTGTAATTTAAATCGCTTAATGCAAAACAACTGGTGTTAACAATGACGAGTTATCTTAAACATGAAACGTTATGTTCAAACAACAAGGTAGCGGTAAAACTTTGCCATTATACATGTATCAAAATTCATTAACGAGTTGTTATAATAACAAATTAAAATAAATTATAACGCAAATAAGCGACAGCTTTTGGTATGTGCTGAATTAACAAAACTTTAATTAGAAGCGCGACCCACGTTAAATTAGCATGAGTGGAATTTCAATCGGGCATAGCAGGATACGCTCATTCATGTCGCTATTAAAGCAGGCATCAGAGTAGAACGCGCAGCGTGCGGTAATCTCGCTACGCGTTCAATAGCAATTCTCTTTGAGAGCATTTGAAACGGTGGAAAACATTTGCCGAGTCCACTAAAATTCCACGCAACTCAGTATACACATTTTTATACTATTATTTTCAGGGCTGGGAAGTAACTTACTTGTAACGAAGTTACAGTTACCTTTTTTTTTAGATAACTCTAACTTCGTTACTTTCTCTCCATCTGTAACTGTAACTTAACTCAGTTACATGTTTTCGATAACTACACAGTTGGAAAATTTGTGTTTTCTTGTTGAAAAAAATGCCGGTTAAAATTTTTGTGTTAAACGTTTTAACACATTCATGCACACATTAGTGGGCATTGGAGTACAAGATTTTGATCAGCGGTTTCCCCCTCGATTCGCATACTAGATATGCAAATTATTAGGCGACCCACAGCTCGCCCGGACCCAAGTGTGATTTGGCGCTCTCGTTTCCACTTGAACAATAAAATCTGATTTGATTGAAGTCTCTACCTGAGCTTGATGAGCCATCTCCAGCGCTTCGTAATAACATCTTGCCTTCTCAATGCAGCTGGTGCCCAGTTTATCGGTAATTTCTTTCAGCCTCCTCGTCGTATCCGAGAGGAGCTGCCCGAAAGCAGTGTGGGCTTCCTGAAGATCAATTGAGATCAAATCAATACTGCAGGTACATACATATTTATATCATAAACAAAATGTTTCTTACATCCAGCTCGGTCTCCAGCTTGTTAATATTATCTGCTGCATTGTTCAGGTTCTCCAACTCGATCTGGAAGACAAATGTTCCCTATAAGACCGTTATCTTATGCCTCGCATGTGCAGTTTACATAATTTAAAACGCAATATGAGATGATATCTCGGGTACAAACTCATGTGAATTTTTTCACTTGAAATCTAAATCATATTGTACGCCATTGTATGCTGTTCGAGTGTACGAAAAGAAAGACTGCTCCGTGCTACGCATGGAAATTAAATTCTTTCATTACAGAGAACAATACTTTTACTTATTTACGTTCACATCATTCATTTCTACCTTCAGACATAACAGCACGAGCAAAGCCAAGGAGGAACGCGTCTCAGAGAACTCTTTCCCCGATTCTTCACATCCACTCGGAATTTAAATTGCACCCGGTATGCCCGGTGGCTTTGGAACTAATTCAAGTTTTCCACTTAATTACTGTCATTTATTTTTCCTCCGTATATGAAAAGAGTCTGGTAAACAGGTACACAAAAAGAAAGCTACCGCCTAAATTAAACGCTGTATTCTGTAAAAAAAATTTTGCTCTACGAATCTTGTAGCTCCTTAGCACTTTTTTCCCTCTCGCCCTTTTTCTCTTGCTCTACGGTGCTACGTAGCTCGTAAAGATGCAAATTTTATTACATTGGAGAGCATTTTTACAGAATAAACTAAATCGTTTATAACTAAATACCTTTACTTATTTATACTGGCATTTATTTCCGTTTTTCAGATATACCGCAGGAAAAATGAAGCCAGGGAGGAAGCGCATTTCGAGATTAAGCTGTCCTGGCCGAATCCTCCACCCCCTCCACCCCCTAGTGAAACAACGACCCCGGCGGGAGGCGGGAGGCGGGGGGAGGGGGGGGCGCGACGGAGCCGCTGCGAGCGAGCGCGCCTCGCCGCGTCTCTCGGCCACGTCCATCCGCGCGCAGGAAGGATGGAAAAGTGAAAGCAAAGTGGGACAATGTACCAGGCGGCGTTAGGCACCGCGACCGCGGCGATGGGACCTAACCTAAAAGGCGCACGGGCGTGGACGGCGCGCGACGCGGGGGCCTCACCTGGATGCGCGGGTCCAGCGCGGCCTCGGCGTCCTCCGCGACGTCCATCCTGCGGCTGGCGCGGGCGGCATTTAACGCTGGCGCGACGTCGTGGGGCGACGTGTCAACTCATCCTCGCCGAGCCGCGCGAAGAATCCCGGCCCTCGGACTCCTCCCTCTCCCCCGTGCTCTCTCCTCGCCACTGACGCGGGTCTTCCTCGAGCGACGCGGGTGTTTACATGCCGCGACACCACCCTCGCGGCACCGCGTACGTGCGCGTCCGAGAGAGACTCGCGTTACGAGCGCATGACGCACTCACCGCCACGACGGGAGCCTCTGGGCGCGCGGACGTGGAGGGAGCGTACGAGAGCGAATCGACGTCCGATCGCGCAGCGCGCGCTGGCGGAGTCGGCGGAGAGCGCGGGGATCGGCGGGATCGCGAACCGCTGACGCATCCCGATCTGATCTACACCACCCGCGCCGTCGGGTCACATCATCGCGGAATCGCGCACCTCGCGATCACCCGCCGCCCCCCCGACGATTGGACCGTCCCGGGCGTTTCCGATGGAGACGCGCGTGCCGGGCGTCCAACTGCGACGGGGGATCCAGCGGACGGCGAGGTACGCGCGGAGGTTGATTCGGGGAGTCCGGTTCGGAAGGGGAATCGATCGCGCTCTCCGGGCATCGGCGGAGCATTACCAGGGGAACATTACGTGCGCCGCCAGGCTCGGGGCGTCAGTGGGGAACGCGTTGATTCGGAAAACGTTGGGGTGACTTCGACCTCGAGCCCCGATTGAGCCGTCGCGTGCCCGTCTCTGGTCAACGCGGATTAACTTCGCTCTCGGTCCAACTCGCTTTTCAACCTCTTCTCTAGCCCCGAGAATGAAGAGATTAGCAACGTGGATATATTGACTTAACTTATCGAGGGCCAGTTTCCATCTTATTATTTCAGAAGAGACAAAGAATCAATTATAGCGTTTTCGATTTTCTGACTCGACCCGACTCCGAGTCAGAAAATCGAAAACGCTATTAGTTTAATTCACGTTTGTCTCTTTCTAAAGTAATCTAAAGTAACAGTTGAAAAGAAACAAGTAGTAGCACAATATATTGTCGCAGCATTGGGAAATAATGTAAATCTAGTGTTCCCAGTATTGGTCCAATATTGTAAGACGCCCTCTCTTATTTAGTCAATATCTGTCCTCAGGAATATTGGAAAGAGAATTCATTCCGCAATTCGCGCAGAAGGGCATTCCCGCTGGATTCTACGGAGCCCGCTAACGGTACGAGTGGCGCCATCTGGCAGGAAGCCCGCGCACCAGCGACGACGGGGCGGCGGGTCGGTCGGTCGCGCCGCGAGCGACGAGTCGGTGAGCCCAACAAACATGGCGTCTGCCAAGTAACAACGCTCCACGCCGCCGCGTCAACGAGTGCCTTACGGTTTTTAGGTTGATGTTACCGCGTCGCCGCATCACTCCGCGTTCCGCGCCAGCGAGCCGTCTTCTACGTTTTTTCTACGCGCACAGCCCCGAGCCTCTCCCCCGGGTGTTGTTATCTTTCTCCGTGTGCGCTCTCTCGGCCGTGCGACGGAGGTGCGTGCAACTAGTGCATCACACGACGGCGACAGCGGCGGCGGCGACGGCGGTGACGGCGGTGGTTCGTCGCGGTGAGTCACAGAGAGCTGCGAGCCGCCGCGGGTGCGCTAATTGACAGCGGAAGGTAGGACGGTCGACCGGGGCGTGCGCGATAAAGCGAGACCGGTCGAGACGGTTTCCCCCCGTTGCCGCGGTTCCCTTCTCCCCGGGCGATCGCTCGGTGTCCCGGCGCGTTTCTCCCCGACCGCGAGTGGCGCGACAAAGCGCGGTTCCGCGTCCCCCGCTTCGGCTCTACCCGCGGGCGTGTGAACTGCTGGATTCCTCGTCTGTGGGAAAGGCTGGATTCGGTATCGTTGTATCGCATCCGGATTATCGGGCGCTCTTTTTTCCCCTTTTTTTCCCCCCCTTTTTCTCCCCGCGCGCGGCGATACGCTTTCCTTACGTCACCGGTGCCGATAATCGCGCTTACGATAAGCCCCGAGCCTCTCGCACGAGTTTTCTGTACTAAAATTGTTTGGTTGGATTATTTGTACTTTCAGAGTAGGAGACCATTGTTTCGAAAATGCCTACACAGACGGCAGAGAACGATGACATTCGGGTGAAAATTATATACAATGGGTAATGCATGTTGTTATAAGAACTGTTTTGCGGTCTGTCCGCAACCTGGCGGACAAGACTTCGCGCCTCGCTTATTGTTTCAATTCTGATGTAAAACTTTGTGTCGCATCTCTAACACAACTAGTTACACTGATTATTAATAGTAGATACATCGCGGTAAACGTTTACAGGATTGAGGGCAGGTTGTTCCAACGCCTTGGTAAATTAACTAACGGTTCAATCACGTGTCTTCGTTTTTCCTTCAAATTAAAAATATATATAGTCGTAACTTTACAATTGGCGAGTTTACCAAGAGTTTGGGAGAACCGGTCCTGATTCGCAAGATAACAAGTAAATTGATACACCAAGAATGTACACGAGAAATCGCCGATGCCTTCTCGCACACAAGTTGTGCACATATCGACGTACTTGCACATGGAAAATGTATGTACATGTTCTACCTGCGTATATAAATTCATACTGGAAGGCATCAGCGATTCCTAGTGTACAAATCGTGGAAAGAGAAACGACGACCTCTCGAGGCAGACGTGTGACGTGACGTTTTTCTGCATCAGGGAGATACAAATCACGTACATCACCCCCGGGATCTCGGTGGACGCGCTGCGCGAGGAGATGCGGACGATATGCGGCTTCGGCACGGAGCAGTTCACGATGAAGTGGGTGGACGACGAGGGCGATCCGTGCAGGATCGCCTCGCAGCAGGAACTGGACGAGGCGCTGAGGCTGTACGAGCTCGAGAAAGACACGGAGATAACCATACACGGTCAGTCGGTCAGCCGTTTGGCCGCTTTGGCGCCCCGAGTTCTTTTCGCAGTTGTTCCCGCATGTTGCTTTGACTTTTTAGCGACGCATTAAGCCGCATTCAAAAGAGCTGCGCATCACGCTCGACGATAATCGCTCGCATGCCTGCACTTACATAATTAGGAATGGAGTACCGTACTCGTGAATCACGCGCGCAGAACCGGCCCGGCGTAGGCGCGTGCACGCATACGCGACGAAGCAGGCTCCGTCGCCAATGTCCACCGTCGTCTTTGATATTCCACGGCTAATGGCCGCCGGCTAGATAAGAGGCCGTCCATAAATTACGCATAGACCCGATATATCTTAGGCCCCCGTGCATTTATTAGCGGTGGCGTGCTAAATGCGCACGTGTGCAGGCCGCTCCGACGCGGATAACGGTGTATGCACGTATACGCCTCGATGCCTCGCCTTATCGGCGGCTTTATCGCCGATACGCGATTAACGGCGAAACAGCTTCATCGCGGCGCCCGGCCCGTAGCGCCGGCGTGTGTTTATTCGGTACACATCGATCGATTCGACTTCCTCGAAGATGACAACATTCTCGGGACCGCGCGTATTGCGCGAATCCACGAGGATTCTAGCGTGGTTTACAGCGGATTCGATTGCTCGCGCCGAGTGCGCGTACTAACGCTCGTTTATAGTCTATTTTTATATTTAAGAATCCAACAGCAGAGATATTAACGCCAGGCGGGAATTAAGGAATAAAATTAAGTGCAGAAACGACCTTGCTCTGGCACTTAATTTTATTTATATTTAAGGATTGTCTTAAACCTCTTGAAATGTTTCTTATCCCGAGAAAGTGATCTGCACAGCATCCGCACGGATCTCTTTCTGGCTAAATAGCTTCTCAACGTGCGTTTGTTAGTCATGTCTTAAGAACAATACAAGGTGATATTGAAAACTAAACAGTTTTGATTACACAGTCATATATTACGTGTAAGTTTTCAGTGTCTGTTTGTAAATTTAGTGTGTTATCGGTTTTCTTGATAAAAAGAAACATTTCGGCGATTCGTCTTTTGCTCCTGAGGTGCTTGCTATGTAAAATTCTTGGTCCCGACCAGTTGAACTCGCGATCGTGTGAATTTATATACGGTACTTCCACCTGTTAGGGCCGATTTCACAAACGTCGGTTAACTGTTAACCAGAGCTTAAATGTAAGAATTGACCATAAACAAGCCTTGGTGTGCATTCAGTGCGCGCTAGTGCGAGCGACCGAATTCGCTATTAGAAATTCATCGGCTCCCCGAGACCCCCCCGAGATAGTTCGATACGGATCTCATTTGTGCGGGATACTTCTCGGAAGGAGGCGCGTATCGTGATCGCGCATACATTTCCGGTCCGGAGGATCTCGGTCCTCGCGCCTTCCCTCGTTCCCCTCCGTGCAACTTCAGCGACGAGCCTCTGCGTCAAGTACGAGGCAAACCCTTCGAGCCCCGAAGATTAATGCTCCGAGGAAAAAAAAAGAAAGGAGAGTAACTCGCGCGCCGAATATACTTCCTTTCTTCTTCCTCGGACGAAGTGGAATTAATTTGCGGTGTAAGAGGATCGTCGAAACGATCGATCGCGAGACTTTCTCAAGAGAGCACTAAGAGATAATGAGGCACTACAATATAATTAAAATGCTTGATCTCGGAGGATTACGGAGCCAGGCTCGACGCATTGCTCCCATAAATAATTCTCTTGTTAAGCGCGGTTTAACGAGATTGCATTTCTTTTCTCGTGAAAAATCAATAATTTGCTAATGAAACCGGGGAACCCGGTGCGCGAACTTTTTTCCCCCGGACGTATGTAAAACGCTTGGACGTCGCGCGCGCCGATATCGACAGAATTTCAGTTCCTTGATGCGTACAACGCCCGTCAATCTTCGTAAACGTGTACCGCTCGCGCGGTATCGGTCGCGGCGATAGCGACGACTGGACGCTGTCGCGAGAGAGCGAGGAGGAATCGACGGGGCAGCGGCCGAGAGGTCGGCAAGCGCAAGGGATAAATAACTCAAAGAGACGAGCGGCCGGCGATCAGAGTGAAAAATGGGAGAAAGCTGGGAAAAATGGAGCGAAGGACAAAGTAGACTGGAGAGTGTCGCGCGTCTCGGAACGGAATGGTCCTCCTTGGAGGACCCTCCGCGAGAGCGGGGAAGGCACAAAGAGCGTCGACGGGGAGAAATGGAGTTAACGAGAGGGACGAGGGGCGCATGTAGAAAATATAAAGCGTGGCGGCAAGGGGCGCAAAGTTTACTTGAAAACGGCGACAAGAAGAATCGCCGGATAATCAGCGGGCAAACGGCAAAGGGTACAAGGGAGGCTGAAGGGTGGCGGCGCGGGAGAGAGGCAGAGGCAGAGCTCTTGGGAGAGGCACGACTCGTGGGTGGATACAGGCGGGTGGATAGGACCGGCAGACCGAGGGGACGACGGGGGATACGTGGTATCACCTCCACCTCGGCTTGGATCCGCGTTTGCGCGATTCGGTCGGCAGCGTGCGCCGCGCCGGGCGGCGGCGGCGGCGGCGGCGACGGCGACGGCGGTGGCGGCGGTTAACGCATCTCGCCGCGACGGTAGTCGATATCCTTGCACGGACCGATCAGCAAGGGCGCGCGTACGCACACTGGCACACGTATATGTACACACACGTCACGCCGTCGACGGGTATCTGGCAGTGAGGTCCCAAGAGCGGATCGCCGCAGGCGGGAGGAAAGTGTCGCGGAAAGAGGATCGCCCAGCGGAGTTCGCCAGAGAGCTCTCGCCCCCTCGACTAGCTGGCCAGCCGCGAAGAAGGGGTTGCGTCATCGTGCGATATTCAACGGTGGTTGTCGGCTCGCTACACCGCGCGAGTGGAGAGAGGTCGCAAAAGAGGCGGTAAACTAGCATTGATCGAGGCTCGGTGATTCGTCGCATGCTCATCCCGGCGGCTCCTGTAAGAGGTCGACCGCGGTGAAGGAGAAAGAAGGGAAGAACGGGGCAAGGGGCGAGGCGGGTAAGGCAATCGGCGTATACACGTACATAGGAAGAGAGAGAGGGCGAGAAGAAGGGGGACAGAGAGCTGCGAAAACAGAGAGGCGAGGCGAGGCGCGATCGCGCGCACGGCTGGAGTGAACAAACGGGACGTGCCGTACCGCGCGGCGGCGATCGAGCAAGGCGAGGCAAGCACGGCCGGACCCGCAGCGGAATGGCGTGGGGCTACTGGAGCGCGACTTCCGTCAGCGACCGGGGTCGGTCACCTCGCCGCGAGAAGGACAAACAGCACCAGAGCCTGCATCAGCATCAGCCACCGTCGCAGCAGCAGGAGAAGCAACCGATGCACCAGACGGAGCTGTCCGCGCAGAGCGGTTACGCCAGCGTGCAGGAGCACGAGCTCAGCGTGTCCGTGCCCGGTAAGGGGGTCGCGACGGAGGAGCCACCGTGCAGCATGATGATCCAGGGTGGATCCTTCTACTCGTACTCGGCGGCGACGGCGGCGGCCGCGGCCGCGGCCGCCGCCGCGAGCCGTCGCATCTCGACCGTCGTCGAGGGTAGCGGCCCGTCCTCCCTCACCTCTACCGGCATCCAGGTGCTGCCGCGGGAGCGCCACGTGAAGCCCGGCACCAGCACGCACCCGCCGTCGCCGGGCAGCGGCGACTCGGCCGAGTACGAGCAGCCGCTCGTCGGCCACCTGCGCTCCGCCGACATCTCGCCGCCCTCTTGCCTCGGCAGCCCGCCGCGTCACCATCACTATCATCATCACCACCATCACGACGACATCTTCGCGCAGCCCGGCACCTCGTCCAGGGCGACAAGGATGCTCCACTGCCCACCGGACCCTATCGAGGGTATGGACGAGCTGTCCGAGGCCGAGCTCGAGGAGGTGGCGAACGCCGAGCTCATTTACGGACCCGCCGTGACGTGCCGGGTGCACGGGCCATGCAGCCAGCAGCAGCAGCAGCAGCAGCTGCCGCAGCTGCTGCCACTGGAGTCCACGCTCTCGATGACGTCGCTGCTCGACGTCGAGCCCGCGGGCCCGTCGCAGTTCCAGTTCAACGAGATCACCTGGGGTAGGTGCAGCCGGCAGGGAGGACCCATTGAGGAGGAGCACGTCTCTGGCGCGCGACCAGCTTCGCCCTTCTCCCCCTCCTCCTCGTTGTGTTTCTTTGATGCAGCCCTCGCGATCTAGGTCAAAGTCTGCCTGCCTGTCTACCTCGCCAAGATAACACTCGCCCACTCGGTTCTTGCGGTCGCGCCCGGTGCATTCCGGACGCGACGCCCAGAAAAACGCGTGTCTTCCGGCGAGCGCCGCGTGACTCGCCAAGTCCCGGCGCCCTCCTTTCGGCCGGCTTTGGCATCTGTTGACGGAAATCCGCCGTGCGGCCGCGGATTGCGTTTAGCGCATTGCAGTAATATAAAACTCTAAGTCGGTCACGTGAATTAATTATCGCGACTTTGTCCTCGCTGAAAAGTAAGGGTTGTACCGCCGTAATAGTTGCCGTCGACTTTGTCGCCCCGGGTTTAGTGGCATCTCCTTTTTTTTCCCCTCTCTCTTCGTGTCGGCGATGATGGATGGGGGAAACTTTTTCTCCACGCTATATCAAATTTATTCCGCTCAACATACCGCGCTTTATCCGATCGCATTTTAATTGATGACATAATTCACATTTTCCACCTTTCGCATTAATTTTGCGGAATAACCGCGATAAAAGTCAGCGCGGGCTTTCCTTTTAAATACACCCGCATTTTATTTATTTATTTATTTATTTATAAACGCATTATCCCCGTGTCATTGTCGTTTCGCGGCACGAGCGACAAAGGCGATTATCGTCCGGCCGGCGTTGCTTTGACGATAAAGAAAAAAAAAAATTGTTATCTCCTTCTTTTCTAGCTCGCGCGATCGGGGGCAACGAATGCGCCGCGTTGTCCAGTTGTGTTTAATTTAGAGCGTCGAATTAGGGCTCGGCCGTGCATCGAACGCCACCGGACCTCGGGCGATCCAGTTTTAAGCACGATCTCGGCTTGTTGCCTTCCCTCGCGCGTGTATGCGCCGGTGCGCTTATGCACTTCACCATTATAGATCCATGCCTCTGGGATACCACGCGCACCGTCGCCGTAGCCGTGGCATCCCGCACCACAGCTCGCACGTATCCTCCTCGCGTCAGGGGTGAGCGTAACATCGTCTTTATCGCCCGTGTCATCGATCCCCCTCCGCGATAATTAGTCCATGAATATTTCAAGGAATTGCGCTCACCTCTCGCGCCGTTGTACACCTCGTTTCGGCATCGTCGATACGTGTCCGCGGTGACCCGCGGCTCTCTCTTTCCCTCTCTTCCACTCTCGTAACAAACGAGATTCGATTACGTATATTGTACCAACGGGAGAGCACCGATGGCCTCGTTAGCGAAACCGCGATCGTATGACACGCGTCGTATCCACGCAGTCCTCGCGACTGCGCCTCGTCTCGTATTCACGCGATAGAGACCCTGCCGAGGCTCGCCTCGGCAAGACAAGCTGTTAATCTGCACCAGCCGATAGCTTCCCCATCGGCGAATTCGGTGCTCCATCTCGGTATCTTCATAATCGAGACATTTAAATTTTTAACGGCCCCTAATGGACTGATTACAAATGAAATCTAATTGAATCTCCGCGCTAAACGAGCCGATTAATCGTCCGTTCCGCCGGCGCATAAATCTGCATTATTCGCTTGTAAGTTTATTTGAGCCGCGCACTCGGGGTAGGCGGGGATCGATTTTAATATTATTTAAATGTCCTTTCGATAAATCCGCTATGTTCCGCGGGTCTGTTGTTCATCAACCTACCCGTCCATCGTTCGAGGATCCGTTTTTGAAGGTCCGCATCGGCGCCTTCGCCCGATCAAGGCACGTGAATTCGAGATAAAAACCTTTTGTCCGTTCTCCCTCTGCCGTTGTGACCTTCGGTAATGGTTTTTCGGCCCCTTATGGCCATTGAATTCTCACCCGAGCCGCGATGCGTCAGCTGACTTAGCCGCCTAAGTCCGGGTGGCCGCTTTAAAGCGTTAAAGCGAATATAATGCGTAACAATTCGCGGCTTTAATTTTATTTCATTCATTTAACCGCGCCAGCCTTCATCTCTTTCGTAGATTCCGAGTCTCATAAAGCATTATCTGCCCGCGACACGCAACGCAATATACTTAATTGTATATTTAATCATCCCCTCTGTTACTGCGCGCGGGATTGTTCTGATAAAGGGCTCGTCCTTCGCTAATTAGAATTTACACGGCAAGCGTATGTGTATGCGTATGTGCTTGTGTGTGACTGGACGGCAGGATTAAGCCGTCGTGAGTAACGAGATTAAAAACGTCCAGGACCTTCGGCGAGGGTTTCCGCGCCCGCGGCTTCGTCGATTGCGCGAGGCTTTATCGGCGCAAAGTCGCGAGGAAATTTAATCGCAAAACGCACGCCGTCTCTCTCGCGCGCGCGATAAGTGATAACGCGGCGCTCGATGGCACGGATAGGATTCAGTGTTACTCGTTATCTGGCCGTAACCGGAGCGATACCGTGTAGAATACGCCAACCAGTACGCACAGAATGTTGGACAACGAGCAGCGAATCTCGATCGGGTTCCGGTACTCGAATTGCTTCCCGTGTAAGTTCGCATTCGACACTTTGCCGATGCCGACAAAGCGAATCCTCCTGGACGCGACGAAAGCGGGAGTGGCGTCGAACGACGACTCCGGTCAGCGAATTACACGCAGTCTTAAATCATTGATCGCGTTTGATACTGAAAGAAGTATGATCTCGCAGCATCTTTCGCGAGAGATATTTCTGGCTCGGCGGTCTTGCTATTAATTATTAACGTTGCTTTATTCAACTTCTATTCGCGCGTCTCGTAATCCATTAATCTTGCTCTAGACTTTTTTTTAAATTTAATTTCCTTTTATTAAACGTATGACGGGACGACACGGGAAATGGGAATTACTGTTTAATCGGACGGTGGAAACGCTCCAGATTCGTTTCCGCCGTGTCCCCTGAAATTTCGAATGCCAGCGAGAAAGGAAACGTCACGTTTTGTCAGCGAAGCGAACGTGAATTCTTTCTGTTCTGTTGCAGTTTTTCCGAACGTGCCGCCCGCCCCCGGGATGCCGTGCCAGGGAGAAGACAGTGAGTGTGTTTACTGTTCATTGGAAACGTCTCAGCTGTCGCCGAGTCGCGCAGGCTTCTCGCTTGCGCACGATATATAGCACATTAGCGTACTAGCCAGCGAGTTCTAATTAAACCGTCCGGTGAAAAGAAACGATTAGCGCGCGATAATAGACGGACACACACGATGCGTAGCTCCGTTACGCGCGGAAGCAGAAGAGCCGTAGAGGAAACATCCATTTCTCGCTCTCGACCACCCGCTCTCCACCAAAGCTCTCCCTTCGATACGTTTTTCAATCACAATCTTCATTGACATCAATGCTACACATCGAAACGGTCCTAAGAGGTTTCTGATTCTTCGCCGCGGCTGCAAAAGATATGAAATTTGTATTAATTTTTTCGCCAAAGACTCTTTTCAGTTTGTGAACAAAAGACTATAAACTTGGATCAGTTGTAAGATTTATTTTCGCTGCTCGAGATCAAATGACATGATTGTACTACAATGGTCGAATTAATTTTGCTTTTTATTGAATTCGTTCATTTGCGAATATCCGGTGTGGCTGCAGCGAGAAACCAGAAATCTTAAGACACACTCGTTCCCTATAATGTACAGTCGCTCGATAATCGTCGAATGGCTACCGGCGATTCTATCGATGTCACGACAACTCTGAGGAAACCTGGAAATCACTGCGTCAGAATGACTAGAAAAAGTTTTTGTTCCGAGTCGCGTGGCTCCGAGGGTGCGAATAGCTCTCACCGAGTCTTCCTCAGGTCCCTGGCATCGGAGCCGATACTCGACGGTGTCACACGTGAATAAAAGGCACAAGTCAAATCCGATCAATCGTGACTCTTGGAATCCTTTAGAGTTGTAGGAATAAACTTATCGTCGCCGTCGACGCTGCACGAGACACATTTCGCAACGAAATATCGTTGTTCGCGTCGACTCGCTTCGTTCGTTGCCGGTGAAGCCGCGCCCGATAGCGCGATCGGTCGCGACCGGGCGAAAGGAGGAGAGGATGATATCGTAAAATGAATTTGCGAAGTTACTCGACGATATTCGACGGCGAAACTTTATTATTAAAATAAAATTCCTGAACACACAGACGGGAATCGAAGAGTTTACATGAATAACATAAGTCCAATATTACTCGTCTCAGATATTATGTAATCATCTTCATAAAGCGCAGAGAAAATATTTACCTCCGAGACTTAAAGCTATATTTAGAGAGAACGGTTAAAGTTTCATTGGTTTTTCTTCTTGATAAACGAGTCGCGAGATTATTTAATTAATTACCATAGAAATTAATATTAGTAGTTGAATTAATAATTGACGACGCTGCAAGACTAATTCGTATCTGCATTGTAATGAGGTTTCATCGTCGTTTCGGCACAGGCGGGTCGCGGAAGTCGATCGCGGCGGCGAAATTGATCGATCAGTTGGTGCTCTCCATCATTTGTGACATTTATGTTATTTCATTTTTCGAAGGAAGCATCTACAGACGTGGCGCACGTAGGTGGAGGAAGCTGTATCGAGTGAATGGCCATATTTTTCAGGCGAAACGATTTAACCGGGTAAGCATCATTTCATGTAATTATCATTGCACAATCTTTACTTTGTTCATCGCCCTTGTTTCTCTCCCCTTCCCCCGCCTCGTCCACCGTTTCATGCATAATCTTTGCGAAAGTAGATCTGTCGCAGGTGCGACGCGGCCGGCGAAACCGACGTTCTGTGCAGCTCTCTCTCGTCGAGCGCTTCCAACACTCTAAAACTTGCTGGCTAGTGACTTCATCGTCGATGAAGGGAAACAGAAGGGAGCATCGCTCTCTCTCTCTCTCTCCTTGTCTTTTCTCTGTTTCCTCTCTTTTCTACTGTATTGCTGGAGATGCAAAGTTGTCGACCCTACAAAACTGGGCTCACGTGTAAACTCCCTCGATCTCGCTTCGCGCGTAATCCTGCCGTTGCGTTTATCCCCTTCCTCCCTTCCTCCAGTATACTTTACTTTGGCCGAGCTTTTGGAAGAGCACTCGCTGCGCCTAAGACCGAACGCTTAAACTTAATTATCATTCGTCCCAGCTCAGACTTCGGGTTGTTTCAAAGCTGGAGAGTCGCGCGCGTTATCGCTGCATTTCTCCGTGGCGCTTCTCGTTGCCGGTGCGCCTTCTCCAAGGCGACTTCCACCACGCGGGATACGCCGCTAGCGCCGAAAGCCCGGGAGGTAATATAATATAATATCCTTGGTCGGTTTGATTTGCAGCGGGCGTTCTGCGCGTTCTGCCAGGATCGGATCTGGGGCCTCGGGCGGCAGGGATTCAAGTGCATCCAATGCAAGCTACTCGTGCACAAAAAATGCCACAAGGTCGTGCGCAAGCCATGCCTGAGCCAGCAGCAGCAGCAGCAGAGCGCAGAGTCGCAGACCATCGACAGAAACGGCGACCAACAGCTTGATTCGTATCCGGTCTCACTGAGTCATCTCGAGGATGAGATCACGGAATCGCCGATCACCGAGGAGCATTCGCGCGATCGTAAGATCATTTCGGGGAATATATTGATTATACGTTATTAATATCTTTTTTTTACACACAGCCATGTTAGATTATAGTTTTCCGCGAAGAAAGAGTTGCAATAAGATTAACATTCAGTGTACTGTCACAATTAATTCACATTATTGCGTATATTAGATAATATATCTCACGGATTTTCTAGTAACTGTGCCCAAAGACACATTCCTTTTATATCTTATTTATACATATATTAGAAGACTTTTTTTTTCTATACTGCTGTATTTCTTTTACGCTATGAATATACTTTTCATACATTTATTATTTCATAGGAATCGGACGTGAGGAGGGGGAAGAACTGCCACTGGACACGCTGCACGAGGGCGATACTTCGAACGACATGCAACGGCAGTACTCATTAAACGACTTCGAGCTGATTAGGGTGATTGGTCGTGGTTCCTACGCGAAGGTCTTGATGGTGGAGCTGAAACGTACCAAAAGGATTTACGCCATGAAGGTAATCAAGAAGTCCCTGGTGACAGACGACGAGGACATCGATTGGGTGCAGACGGAGAAACACGTGTTCGAGACGGCCTCAAATCATCCCTTCTTGGTGGGCCTGCACTCCTGCTTCCAGACGCCCTCGCGTCTGTTCTTCGTGATCGAATTCGTACGCGGCGGCGATCTCATGTTCCACATGCAAAGACAGCGCCGTCTCCCCGAGGACCACGCGCGGTTTTATGTAGCTGAGATCAGTCTGGCGTTAAACTTCCTTCATGAAAAGGGTAAACATCCTCCGTCTTTTCCCGAACAAATTGTTCAGAGTCGAAACGTACAACTCAGTTTGATAATCGCTCATTTTCAGGTATCATATATAGGGATTTAAAGCTGGACAACGTACTGCTTGATCACGAAGGACACGTTAAGCTCACGGATTACGGAATGTGTAAGGAGGGCATTCGGGAGGGCGACAACACCGGCACCTTCTGCGGCACTCCCAATTATATTGCGCCCGAGATTTTGCGTGGCGAGGAATATAGCTTCTCGGTGGATTGGTGGGCTCTGGGAGTCCTACTGTACGAGATGTTGGCAGGCCGTAGCCCCTTCGACCTCACAGGCGCGTCCGAAGACCCGGACAAGAACACCGAGGACTTCCTGTTTCAAGTTATTCTGGAGAAAACCATACGTATACCGCGATCCTTATCTGTTAAGGCTGCGTCTGTCCTTAAAGGATTTCTATGCAAGGATCCCGCGGAAAGGTTGGGTTGCGGGAGGAGACCCTCCGGTTTCCTCGACATAGTCGCTCATCCGTTCTTTAAGGCAATCGATTGGGAAATGGTGAGTATTATCTGAGCGTGGATGCAAAAGTTTATCTATTTAAAAGATACGAGTCTTGTTAACGATTTCGTTTTTTATTTTGCAGCTGGAGCAGAAACAAGTCACACCGCCTTACAAGCCGCGTTTGGATTCCGATCGCGATCTTGCAAACTTCCCACCCGAATTTACGGACGAGGAAGTCCGTTTGACTCCGGATGATCCGTAAGTTATTACAGTGTTCTAAATTTGTACGATTAAAAACTTCAAAATTTAAAAAAGATGTTTATATACAGATTCATATAAAGTTGCTGTTTACACTTTATTAAATCGTCAAAAAAAAGTTTTTTAACGCAAAATTCATGTAAGAAAATTTGCAGGAAACAAATTGAGAAGATCGATCAGAGTGAATTCGACGGTTTTGAGTATGTGAATCCTCTATTGATGTCACTGGAGGACTGCGTGTGACAAGAGCCACTTTTCATTGTGCAGCGTCACAATCATGATCAGCAGCAGCAGCAGCAGCAGTATCAGCTGCAGCAGTGCTACATGTATGAGTTACAAGACAGACTCGCGAAACTTCGTATCGATCCCCTACTCCCCGTTGTCGGCTCAAGCAATCAAGGTTATCACAATAACGTATTTCTAATGACGTACTCGGAGGAGAATGAGAACGACAATAATTATTACGAACATCATCGGCTACCGCCGCCCTTCCCCTTCCGATACGAAAGCCCAGCGTGCTCTCGTTCTCTAAGTATCACAGACGTAACTTACAGTCCAGGCAATAATAACGCGATCGTTAGCAATTACGATGAGAACGACTATGACGATATGGAGGATGAGAATCCGCGAAAAGGTCTCCTAAAACAGATATTTTGCCTTCCATTAAATTGAAGCTCGATTCGAGCTCCCCTTTTTTAAAGGGATAAGATTGCCTCCGATTCGATTACTCGATACGCACTTTTGTAGAAACAGCTCGAGACCTACAATATCGTCGGACGTAAACGTCCCGTGTAGTTACATAGTATTAAAATACGGAAAATATTTAATTCAATCTAAATATATATATATATATACATATATCTATCGTTACGTTAACTGTTCTCTTTTACATATGGTGCTGCGAATAGACATGTTAATGGGTAACGTTACTTTCCGCAGTCTTTAGTCTTTCCGCGAGCTAAAGGTGAAAACGTACCTGAGTGCTTTGATCGATCTTTTAGGTACTTTTACAGTACCGTTTCTTTTGCGCAGCGGATTGATATTTCCAAAGTATTACGTGATCAATCATTCCTTTCGCTATATAATTAAAAAAAAAAGATCAGACACATATTTTAACTGTACGATCATTCCGAACAATATTATGAGTTGTAGATTAGTTACATTGTGAAAGAGTTATACCAAACGTAGTAATAGCCTTTTCTCCTTTTCGTTCAACTGCTTTTACATGTACACTTTCACTGAAAGTGCGAACTCGCGAACAAAAGATAACGCAGGTAGATAACTACGTCGAGACGTTGCTTTTATACGGACATTCCTATTAACTCGATTTAATCGATAGTCGTTACACTGGTCACTTTATGGATCGAAGGACCATCGCGTATCGTAGCAACAGTTGTGAATTCCAAGCATTTCTTTTCTCATTGAGAAATTGTACTTGCTGTTAGAATAGAAGGATAATATGCAGTAACAATAATTTTCTATGGAAACGTGGTTTTTTACTTGTAGGAACGTATTCTGGGAATATTTTTTACTCCGCAACAGTTAGTTGTATTTACACGTTTATCCGATAGTGTGCTCCTCGTCCAAGCGTGAGAGAGTATACCGATTCCTATAGCGTGATTAGGACAATTTTTATAGTTTTTCAAAGTAATATCGAGCAAACGTACAACTGGACAGTTGGAGTACTGAAGACTAGCTTAACCTTTTTATTGTTAAACATAGAGATCATCGTGCACAGTATTCCCTGGATATTTATAAATTCTCATGAATAAGACGCGCAATGCCCGCTCTAACTTCATTCTAAACTAATCGCAGACAAATTTCGAAGCGTATTACGCCACAAGTATTAACCGTAGAAGTATTGCCTGAGAGCCGCGTGGGACATTTTGCTAGATTAATATACGACCCGTAAAGTTAACGAGTATGAGAATTGTGCGATAAAACGTTTTACGTTACGACGAAACGCGGACGTTCGCGAAATTAAATTATACGTAGACGAGAGTACATTTGTATGTATTAGAATTACTGCGCGTGGTTTTTGTTCTAGTGATTATAACGACGACTATTAAAAAGAGGTTGAAAGAGAAAGACTTTTCGCAGAGTGCGACAGTTGCAAAGATCGATGTGGAATGTATTATAAATGTGAAAAGTATTTAATGTAAGGATGTCACGCGAAAAAGTATTAACGAGACGAAAGGTATATACCAAATTCACATCACGTAAAAGAGAGAGAGAGAGAGAGATGTAATTAAATCTCGTAGTTCTCTGTGGATTCTCTCGAGCGTATGCAAGTACGATAAAGTGTGGATAACTTAGTTTCGACATTAGAGCTATCTTTAAAAAAAATACAATCAATGTTACACGATACTCTGCCCGGCGTATTTGCGGTAACGTTAGAGAGGGAAGTATCGTGTAACCTGCGTTGGAGAGAATATGGTGCCAACACTCAACATCTCAATCGAATCGAACGGTACGAGTATATTACGCGTTGCAGAACTTACGTGATTTCTTTTTTAAGCGACGAACCACACTGTTTTATCTTTGGGTTCGTTATCTTTTTCCGTAAGAACGTGTGGTATGCATAGAGAACTTCATACATGAATTCCTATTGTAACATAGCGAATGAATTGAATACGTGTTACCCGCTGTAAACTTAATTGTTGCAAAGGCTGCTATTATTTTATATAAACTATGGCGATCCGCTATTTTTTTATAGGGACGAGTCGGACGACGAACGCAGGGGAGATAACTATAAAAGTATTCTAAATGAGGAGATCCTTAACGCTGATCGAACAGTATATTACAGTATATGGTATGGTAATAATATATTCACATAATTATGATATAGATATATATTCACATACTGTTGATTTTCGGCACCATATACTGCAGTTAATTATTTAAGAGACGCTTAAGTATTGTTAAATCTATATATCTTCTGGCGCAAATATTGTCTTTCCATGAACGGAGCACACAGTATTTCTCGCAACAATCGATATTGTTAGACAACGGAAGGATATAGAAAAACGCAAGTGGTGTTGTATCACCTGTGGTCAATTGATTGCGCGTCCTACCGAGCTCCGTTAACAAGTTTAATATGCGGCACAGTGATGCAGAATCGCGTGGAATATATTCCATACTTTATATCGTATTTTATATTCATTTTAAAGGACCATACAGAGCGAGTCCTAGGGAAGAGTACCGAGACTTGCATTGTTTAGACTTAATCAGCATTGATCATGAAACTTTTCACGTATTTGTACGCTTCTGTTGTAGGAATTTATGAAATGTTATATATAGCTATTTATATTTCGGATAGCCGAGGATCCCGGATACTTAAACGAACGAAAAGATACGTATTCCGTGAAAAGATATACGCGCATTATACATATACATTTAAGTTAGAGCTACTTAATTGAATTGGATACAATATGTCGTCGAGAGAGAAATTATGCGGATTTTTTTTTACACGTCCGAGCCTCGGGTATCCCAAGTACGTTCCGAAAGTACGGGAAGGGATTAGATCCACGCGAGTAGATATTGTATGAAATATTTTAGGGGAGTAGTGTAAGAGTCAATCATTTTCATACTTCCTGGTATGTACGATCTTTTTATAGATCATGCGCGTGCATGAAAGGAAGAGGAAGGAATCAGGCGTTTTGCGAGGTAGAATTTATTGCTGATTAATATCAGATTTGTTTGGTGTTATATATTTTTTCAAATAATCTGATTTTTACAGACATTTTCAAGGAATTGAGTCATGCTTAACATTTTGTTCTTTGACGTTCATCAGTTCAAATGCCGGATTTGAATGTACACACATCGGAGTTCTAAGATAATATAACATTTCTGTAGTATCGCATAGCGTGATTTTCGGATTCTCATTCTAATTTTTATTTGATACAATTTTACAATTTCTGATTATGCGATTTAACGTAAAGATGACAAGTTCTCTTGTTCTCTTGATTATTCTCTTAGAACGTCCTGCTATGCGCACTCGACGTGTAAATATAAATATATTTATGCATGTACATAGTGTCAAAAAATACAGGTACACGTACTGATATAATATAACAGAAAAGTTTATGAGAAAATATATACATATGTCGGAGCTGTAGGTATTTGTAATATATTAATTGACTATGAAAAAAAACTGATAGTGACAGTATAGTACAATAATTTCGAACACGCATCACTCCTAATGCTCAGTCTATCGTATGATTATGCGAATTTATATAGTGAACGTAATCTATACGACCTCGTCTTTTTTCTAATAAATCTTCCAGATTCACGTTTCTTACTTTACGTACTTTGCTCCGGATTAACCAATTCACATTTGATGGCAATACACATGTTCTATATTTATATTGCAAAAGGTATTACAATATTACTTGATCATATTTTGTGGACGTAACTCCATTGAAGGAAATATTTTAACGTATAATATACACATATATTTATCTTCACTGAGGAAGACATTAAAATTCTAACACAATTCTAACGTATCATTTCTACTTGCAGCAACTTGTAACTCGGCGATATTGAGACTGTTTTTATTTCAATGTTGGAAGAAAAACGATACAGTAAGATGATTATTATAATTAAAATTATAGATAGATATATAAAATATTTATAGATAAAATTGACGAGTGGTTGCATTTAATTGTTATAGAGTACAAGATATCAAAAAGCAGAAGGGACGCTTATACTTTAGGATTTGTTACACTAAATGAGAATATAAATTAACAAGGTGCATTCTGTCCTCGCAGGCAGGCCAGGAGAAAGGTCTCGGTGAGCGACATTAATTGTGTCTCGTGTCGCAGAATTAACGAGAATCGATTGTACGCGTGCCTTCCCTCGTCCACGACGACAAAGTGCCGCGCGTATGTTATCGACGTACTAATCGATGGCCTCATAATTATTACTGAATAATTGCCGAGTATATTTAAAATTGTATACGTTATTATACATATATATTGCCGTTGATAGTATTTTTATAAGGCTTGACTTGCGTTTTCCGGACGGGAATTATATTGCTTCTCAAATGCATTCTGTATGCATCATGCAGACGCATGACGGGCTACCTCCCCACGACTGTAGCCACGATTGTATCCCCGTGGACCCACGCGGATATACGTGATTCTGTTCCTTTCAAGTGTTACGAATAAAACAATCCCTACGTGCAAAGGAATTAATCAGTTACCTTTCAGCTCCACCACAAACGCGACTTTGCTTCGCTTGCCTCTCGCGCATTAGTATCATTTTTTTAAAATCAAAACTATTTACTCTTCGTTTTTTTAACGCGATATCTTTTTGCTTTTGCTTTCTACATGTCAATGATTCACATTTCTATTTCACTCTAAAACAGCAATGCACTACAAGAACGATATCTAAGAGAATTTATTATAGCAAGATAGAAGATGCTCTAAAAACAGTGTTAAATTTGAGATTGCAAAATATCGTTTTTTCCCTGCTTTACACGAGTGTAATCTACATCTGTTTTTCAATAAAGAATCGATATCGCGTGGTGGTGGAGAAAAGAGGTGCACGCTAGTTTCAATTCTATTGATAAGTAGTCTTGACGTTTGCAAACTTCTATATCACGAAATTATCTCGTTAAAGTAAAAATGTCAAATTATAATTGTTGTAATACTTGAGGCGACACGGCCTCAGAGGAATTGTATTACCGAACCGGACGACGATTACTCGATTATGTCGATACGTTTTATAGTTATATTATGATAATGTTATCGGAGATTTCTGTGTTTTCGAATTTTATAGAAACTAAATTGTAATCAAGTGTGTTTTTATTGCGAAAGGTAGATATCGTTTTAGGTGAACCTCGAGTGGCCAACACATGAGCTCAAGTATCGATTATGGTTTGTGGCGCAATTTTTCATCGGCATACAATTATGCAGGCGTAACGAAGCGCGTGCATCGACGCGATGAAGTCCTGTTTATTCGCCTGTTGTGATAAATGGCGCTTCGCCGCGATCGAGGGCGATTCATAAATTTTCATGCGAATCACGCGGGAAGCTTCCCGATCTATCCATCCGATCTATTCTAACATAAACTAATACATATCATGCGACATACAACTATGTACATTATTATTACATCTACATTATACAGGGCTAGTTCTGCGAGCGATTTCGAGGCGTGATTGAATCACTTTTTATTCCGGCCGAAATATCGTGGAACTGAAAAAGGGGCAGATTGAAGCACATTTTCAATTTCGATTAAATTAAAGTTTTATTTACATTTATTTGCACAAGATATCAAGGCGATCCTAGTCATACAAAGTTATCATCTTGTATTTGAAGCTCGCGAACTGGCTCGCTCATATTCCCGCATGGGTAACTTTAAGAAATTATAAACGATTAGAGTGTAAGTTAGCATAGGCTACGGATAATTAATTACGCGTGTACATTGAAATAAATCAGGATCGATCGCTTAAAGCATCAACCGTGAGAAGCGAAAATTTTGTTCCCAGATAGACTCGCTACGCTTTGGTAGGGCAATTTTCGAAGCGGGCGATCTTCCGGGCGATGCTCAAGTGCGATTAGAGGGGAAGGAGTACAAGTGTGTAATTATACCGACGGCTGGATGCGATCGCGATGAATTGCAATCGCGAATGTAGTTTCTTACGCAGTGACCGCAAATTGATTACGATGGAGTTTGTATAAATGTACATAGAACGACATTATATTCGAGATGAGAGATAAGCGAAGTTACTTCACGTTAGTGACGCAGTGAACTTGATGCGACGCTGCGTTCCTGACGCAGCCGGAGTGAAATTAAATAACTACAGACTATATATGTAAACGCAACGTATTATATGATGATGATACTAATAATATAACAACAATAAATTAGATCGATTCATTATACGCGCTTGTGACTTTCTGTCGGGAAAGGGTATCCTCCTTTTTTTTTAAGCCCAGAAACGGCGTCGCTATTGATATTGGGCCAGTAATTGCAAAATAGGCCGCGATACCATTTGCACAGAGGACTTTCCCCATATGAAGTCGTAATGATTACAGGTAGCGTTAGGTGGAGTCTTGTAATGAAACACGACACTGCTGAGTTTGGCAGACAAGACTTCTACGTCCTTAAACGAGAATTAAAGCATAGAGATTTTGACGAATTTCGCATAAATTTTCGAAAGAGGGAAATTAATACTTGGCGCACATTTTAATCAAAGTTTCTACAAACTTTGATTAAGTCGAATTCAATTTTTATAAAAAAAAAGAAGCACTTTTCAATCGTACCTTCGTTGTTGCCAGCCAATCGTTATCGCTACTGAAGAGCGCGATCGGCGCTGTGATTTTTTCCAATTGATAATCCGGCGGCGTCGTCGAATTGTACTTCCGAAGATTTTTGTCGACATTGCCGTAGTCGTATTGCCTGAAGCGTCCTGAAACATTTTTGAAATTTATTCAGATTATTCGGCATTATACAATATTGCGCTCGGCATATTTGCTTTTCTTCTCTTTATACAATTGCCTTGCCGTATTACCTGCGTTAATATATCCCTGGCCGTAATGCACGAATTGCTTCCAGGATGCTCCTGCGGGCACGTGGCCTATGATGACCGTTAGGTTCTCCTATTGCAACGACGGAAGCTCGATCAATAACGCGAGTGAAAAGGCAGAAGCGTTACAAGGAATCGAATACGCCTCATTCTTACCGTGTTCAATTCCGCACGACTGAATCCAACGACCAGAAACAGGATATTGCTGCAAATGAATTGCGTGGACGCCGCTTTCTGGCAGAATAGGTTCGATACGAATTTTCCCCAGTCGGTCCGCGAACGGAACTCCGGATATCCGAAAGTCTCGCCGACCCACTGTAAGAAAAGTACAAGGGGATCATCGTCGCGAAGTCGCTCGTGGTCGATCGGAAACATTTGGACGGCGATCTTCTCTCACCACGCCGAAGTACGTCAACTTGGCGAGCTTCCTGATCGGTCCGCGAATGTTACCGCTGAAGGCTGCGGGCGCCAGACCGATCATCAGAATGATCTTCGAATTGTACTCGGGTTTTTCCGATGCCATCACCCAGAACTGCGTTGTACCTTCCGAGTGGCCGACATAATAGATCCTCTCGTGTCCCGTCGTATAAGAAACGTAATCGATCATCGCGGGAAGATCGTAGATACCAAGTTCGTGATAACTGAAACAAGTGCAAGTTTCCCCGCGATGATCTTCCTTATTTTTAATCGTTTAAATGCTTTAAGTCGTAAATTTGTATTGAAATGAATATTTCTTAAAAAGGTATAAATGTAAGATTTGCAGTGCGATTTAATTGTCATCTTTATATTTTAGTTCAATTAGATATCTGATATCAGACTTGGAATCTCTTCTCGGTAGAGAGCTACAAAAGGTAAAGCTAAACTTCACGAACATCTAGAATTCTATTAAGATCTTTTCTCTTATTCGCGATAAAATTGCCTTTTGTAAAGCTGGGAGCACACACTTTTGCATAAGGAATTTGGTTCATTTCCTTATGCATTTGCTTATGGACCAATCAATTTCTTTATGCATATGCTCCCGCCCTAACATTTCAGCTACCTGAAGTCCCAGAAAGCTCGATCGGTCGGCGACAACGAGGTGTGGTTTCTCGAGTAAATGTTGCCCCTGTTATTTCCGAGCCACACATCGTAGCCCGCGTCGGCTAATATGTACGCTAGAAAGAGAACAACTCCCCGTTGTGTTACCTTGTTCAAGGAAATGTCGAGATTATACTTGAAACGTTCTGTTTTACAGAACACAAGTAAGGCCCTACCTAAGGACTTTCCAGGACCGATAAGGACCCAATCGGCGGAGCTGCCTCCCAGACCGTGTACCAGGAGTATCGGCGTTTTCATCCTGGACTTGGCTTCCTCCTCATCGTCCCGGCCGCGCGGTATTCGATGCAGCTGAAGAGCGTAGCCGTCCTTCGCTACGATATCATGAATCTCCAAGGGATACCTGTACTTGGTCACCAGTTCCGGCTGTCCAACAAGCAAAAGAACACGTGCTGATTTTTCCGAAAGGTACAATTGAGTGACACAAGTTAATCTTCTCCGCTTTTGTCTTGCGCGCCAATTGGACAAGTTAAATTTTAACAAGAGTAGGATTTCCAGCGGACGAGAGGATCATCCAAGAGACGCGCCGAACCCTCGAGCATCGTTTACGTTCCAGGAGCATCATTCTTGTTACTTTCTTTTCTATAAGAATGCGTCTAAATGCCGAGATGAACGCCGTGAAAGGAGAGGGTAATTGCGCAAGACGGTTTAACTGACATTCAAGATCCCATCCGTTGTTGCGGCCGCGTCCAGTGCGGTTTGTTGTGTCACAACGTCGCTACAAAGTAAAGCCGCTCAAGAGCGGCACACTCACCGTCGTGAGCTCGATGTCGGGATTGTCGTCCGGCCTGACGAACGCGTTCGCCAGCGCGAGGCAGCAGCTCAGGGCGAGGGTCGCGACGCGGATCCGGTGTCGGCGGTTCATCGGCGACGGCATCGCGGCGGCGTACGTCCAACGAGAGAGCCGAGAGACCCCGCTCACGTCGACATTTTATACGTATCACGGCGCGACGTGCAGGAGATCCACGCCGCGCGATAACGCCGCGACGTCTGCCCGCTTTGCGCGCTCCCATCCTCGCGTTCGCGACCCTCGAGGGACCCGGCCCTCACCTGGAGAATGGAAAGTAACTTGGCGATCGCGCACCAAATTGGTGGATGGATGCGATTTTTCTAGAGCGTCGCTGATCGCGCGGGCGACGAGTGTCTTCAAGGTCGAGCGATTTCATCTCTTGAGAAGACTGCGGTGAGCGGCTTCGATCCATTGAAAGAACTGCCGCGGATCGTCGGTCCAGTAGCGCTAAAATAAACGTTGATTCAGAAAGTATAAGGATCAATGTCCGCTTCTACCAATGCAGATCAATTTTAATCTCGGTTTAATTATGTTTTATCCCTTTCTAGTTCCAGAACTTGGTAAAAGATATAAAGGGAGAATTAAGCCGAAATTGAAGTTTCGCATTGTCCATTTCCACCGATGCAGATCAATTTTAATCTCGGTTCAATTATTTTTTATCCCTTTCTGCCCAAGGAAAAATGAAAAGTCGAGATGACGTTAATTTGATGTCATATTGACCAAAATATGACACAAATTTGGTCAATATGACATCAAATTGACATCATCTTGACTTTTTATTTTCCTTGGGTGGTTTGAAAACTTGGAAAAGGAGCGAGAACTAAACCGAAATTAAAGTTTCACACTGATAGAAATAAACGTTTAAATACCAAAAAGTAAAAGTGTTAGGAAGATTAAACAATGAAACGCCATCCGCTTCACATTCGACGAGAACATACCTGAAAAATTCATCTGAAGAGGTTCACAGAGCGTATAATTGAACATGCTTCCCTCGCATTACTTAACCTTAGATTCTTTTATTTCAAATCCTTTACGAAAGCCGAGATGAAAAATTATCAAGTCCCGTGAAACCTGTAAAATGTTAAATGTAGCGACTTGTAGAATTAGGATGTAAAAAATGCAACGATAATCTAAAAATGGAAGAGTAGAAGTATCGTAATGACATGCAACGTTATAGTTTCAAATAATATGCACCTTTCTGGAATGTATATAACGTATTATAATACGCCCCATATCGTTTCGTTCCGTGCAATACGCCGAAATGCCTCTGTATTTACGCAAACACGTAATAATTATTTGCCTCATTCCGACAATTGCACAATAGGTTAGGTGAGAGCTAGAACACGTGCTCTCGATACCTTCGAAAAATCGAAGTTATCGGGAGAACAGGAGTCGCCAGGAGGTTGGCGGGCGATTTGATTCCGACTTAAAATTCCCGCCCGCGAGACAATCGAGCTGAAATGAGCCGCGAATTCGGATCTCAAGAGGCAGGTCGCGATATTAGGCGCGCATGACGCGCGGGAGATAAAACCGCGGAAAATCTGACAACGAGTAGAAATTGATTTACTGCATCTCTCGTCGAGCTTCCAGAAAAATTATGTAATCGCCATTAATTGTAGTTAGGAAGTCATTTTGAATTCTTCATGAAGGCTTCGATGTCGGGAGCCAAAAATTAATCGCTAATTGTAAGTCGGAAGTTCGAACGAGGAGAAGCCTAAGTGCCCGACACCTTCGGATCTAATTCCGCGTTTCGCGCTCTCGCGATATTCGACGTGGGTAACGTCTCCGCGGCCGCAGCGCGCGCGGCGCTAATTGGAGCACGCGCGCCGTTTCGAAGGTAGACGCACATGGCACGGCACTCGCGGCTGCCGCCGAATCGGCAATCTCCTTATCTTCGGCGCGCGCGGTATTGCGAAAGCGCGGCTGTCAACAACTAGGCCGTAGCGACGCGACGCAAGGTCGATTTCGTCAGCCCCATCGTTTCTAACCGCGCGGAAGAAATTGGGTGAAAAGTGGTTTCCACCGCGCGCGACCTCTCCTCTTATCGCGCCGATAATCTCCGGAGCAACGTGAAATCCGCGACGTCACTCGACTCGCCGCTCCGGTCTTTGTTTTCCCGCGATTTTTCGCTCGAAGCCCAGTGAGAGATTTGACGGTGTCGATATCGACTCGCGGTTTCAACATCGATCGACGAGTCATTTCTCGCTGGGAGGCCGTCGAATAATTGCGCGCATTGATATCAAATTGTTTCCAATATATTTCTCGAGTCTCGTTGCAATAAAATGTACATAATTAAACGATCCTTACCCCTGGTTCACAATTTTGCTTTAAGTAAGTTTTAAGGCTTAAGCCATAAGAAATTAACTAATCACAGGTGAGAGTGAGGGGAATAAATGCCTATGATTGGTTAATTTCTTACGGCTTAAGGCTTACAGCTTACTTAAAGCAAGATTGTGGACCAGGGGTTACAGTAAGAAAATCAACAGATTGGATTTGCTACTGCTTGCGTTATTGCTTTACGTTCTCGACTGTGATTGGTCGATTTTCTTATGCTTACTGATATTGGCCGCGTTCAGCAGACACAACTGCTGAGTGAGCGCTCAGTATGATTGGTTAATACTTTTAGATCCAGCCAATCATGTTAAGTAATCGTTGAGCGCTCGCTCAGCAGATGTGCTTGCTGAACGCGGCCATTAGTACCCACCGAATTTTGCTTGCACACGAGTTCGGCGTCCATCTGGTGATGGCGCGCCGAACTACGTGCGGCGGGTAGGCGCCGCCTGCGCGCAAATCGGAGCGTAAAGTGCGAAGCGCCTGGGCATTTAAAAATGGCGAGGCCCTCGGTATTGTTTTGCGTTATCAGCGCGGCGAGATTAAAGAGCGTCACGGGGCGCACACGTTCGCTGATGTAAGCACCGTCATCTCTCCGTGTTCGCCGCCTCGTCAGAGGAGGAAAGGAGTCATGGTCAACCCCGTTGTCGTTTGCGTTCTGTCGCTGGCCGTCGTGAGCCTGGGGATCGTTATGGACTGGACCTGCATCCAGTGCTGTTGCCTCTACATCGTATTAACTTGCTCCTGTTTGCTCGTCGGCCCGTTAATCATGATACTGATCAACATAGCCCTGTCGCCCAAGCACCAGACCGGCTCTGGCGCGGCTAAAACTGTCGCGGAGGTGGACGCCTTCCATAATATGTTGATGGTACGACGGGCGAAGCACCGGTGTGACGCTATTGTAGCCGTTCATTCTCGATTGTTGACCTTTCAGAAGGGATACGAGCCTAAGTCGGCCAGCGCCAGGAAGCACGCGCGTTACCCCGTCGTTTTCACTCGCCTGGTGGACGGCGCTCTGCAGAATCTCCTAGATCTGGTCTTTCAAGACTTCGTCGGCTTCTGGCTGAACGATCTGGCCTTCGGCTCGGAGCAGTTGATAGACAGCATGAAGCAGGACGTGTGGGGCGCGATACAGAGCCTGCACGACCGCCTGTCGCGCGTCGACCACACTAAATTGGTGGTCTGCAATATAGTGAACAAGCTGACCTTCCACTTCGAAAAGATCAGGATAGCCCAGGCGGCTTCGTAAGCGTCTCTTTTCGGCGGCGTGCTCGCGGGGCGAGGCGAGAAGCAACCGCTGATTCGTTTGTCGCATTTAGGTCAGAGGGGGAGGACCCTGTATTTATTTTGTCGGCGCATCTGATGTCGCCGGTCGCCGAGCTGGAGTATCTGAGGAAGATCAGCGAACTTTACATCCTGTTTTTGTTGCCGCGCAGTTACTCCCTCTCTCCGGTCAAGTTTCTCCTGAGGGAAGTCCTCACGTGCAAAAGTAAGCATCGAAAATGTTTGCGAATAATGCGCAGCTTCGATTAAGACAGCTTTAGTTATCTCTTCCTTCAGTCCTGAAGCCGGCGATAGACTTGATCACGGATCCCGATTACATCAATCAGAAGATCCTGACGTACATTGATCAGCAGCAGCTTGCCGAGGCGATGCACAGGAAAACGTACGAGTACGCGGAATCGTTCGAGGACTTTATCCGCATGATCAAGGGCACCAGGGATCTGGAAGTTCTCAAGCATATCAGATATAATATCGTTACCGAGATTATGCAAGCCACCACGGTGCAAAACGTGAAACGGGCCCAAGGTTTGGACCCGGAAAATAACGCGCTCGGGAACTCGGATGCGATCCGAGCGAGAAAACTGAAGAGGTACATCAGCCAGTTGACGTACGCTAAGAACACGTGCGAGTGTCACATGCAGACGCTTGGGTGGGACGGATATCCTCGTCAGGTTGCGTAGAGAATTATTCATTCGCGCGAATTACGGTGATGCGGCCAATACTTATTACAGTCGTATCTTTCAGGATATGGAGATCTGCGACGCCGCGGAGGTCGCGGAAGGCAGGATACTCCCGTTGCAAGCGATTCTGGACAACGTGACCGGCCGACGACATCTGTCTCAGTTTCTGGAACAGGTCGCCAGTCAGGGATTGATCGGTTACTGGGCGGCGGTGCAAGAATTACGCGCCGCAGAACGGTCCAGTTGGCATCAACTGGGAGCCGAGATCTTTTACACTTACATCAGATCGCCCACCGCCGAGATCAAGGTGGATAAAAACGTGCGAAAGCGGATGGAGGCCTTTCTCTTGGGCGACACGGGACCCAGTGTCTTTTACGAGGTCCAAGATAACGTTGTCAAGACGCTTCAGGACAAGTATTATCCGTCGTTCCTCGTTAGCGAGCAATATAAAAGCATGCAGGAGGCACTGCTCAATGAAAGAGCCGAAGGTCGGTATATATTAAGTTAGATTTTATTCAATTAAAGTTTATTTTAATCTTTAATTGGACATGAATTATTCAGAAACGTTATCTTATATATTGCCAATATTAATAAACTTTTGTCGTGCGTCAGGTTTGGTTGAAGACCGCGAGATCGTTGATGGCACGCTATCGGAGTCCTCGACTCTGCTTGTTGGCGAACGATCGAATTACGCTCGTAGCAAACTGGATCAGCTGCACGAGAAATTAAACAACAAAATGCAAGCATTGCAGGCGCTCAAATCCTCTCTCAAGCCCGAGAGCAAAGTACTCAGTATATTGGCGAAAGAGGTCGAATGGCTGCAAGGTGAAAAACGACAGTTGGAGGCGCATTTAAATCACACGGAAATGTGGGCTGAACATCTAGGTCACTGGAGAGCCGACGTACAGAGTGCAGAGGTAATGCAGTACGACCCGTTTCTTTGTGCACATTTACTGAGGAATTTTCTTGTCGATTTTTTAATTTATTTCTTTTTATTGAATAGATGCCTGATAACGGGGATCCTCCGCAATTTGTACTGGTTGTCCATATGGCAGAGGACGAGGACAATGACGAGAGCATATCCAGCGGATGGGTGGTGTTGAGGAAACTGCAGGACTTTCAAGATCTTCATAGAAAATTACGTCAGTTATGTTCTAACGTTAAGAGCCTGGACCTACCCTCGCAGCCTCTCAAGTTTTTCGGAAAATCCGACAAGAGCACCCTCGACAAGGCTAAGATGCAGATACAAAAATATTTAAATGTACGTTTTTAAGTAGGAATCTGGACTGTTGTATTAATGTTGCTCGCTTTATTCATTAATTTTTACAGTTCGTCTTAGAAGATGAGAGGCTTAATCAAAGTGAGGCACTGTACGCCTTTCTCAGTCCGAGCTCGGAGCACCTTAAAGCCGTCGTGGCGCCGTCTCCCAAGAAATCCCGCTTTTCTTTGTCCACGTTATTCAAAACGTACGCGCAACCAATTTCGTCGCATCGCCATTGATCTATTTTTGCTGACTCTGTAAATCTCTGTCTGACAGATCTGTCGGTAGCCACGAGCTACGCGACAAGGAAGACGAAGAGGATTATTCGTTGCTGTTGGACGATAGCGAGACGGGCCGTACCGGCACCGACAACTATCTGAATGCCAGTAAGGATGCGATCGCGGAGCCGCTGTACACGCTTCTCGGAGAAGTTTTCGATTTAAGAGGAGTATTTCGTTGGCTCAGACGGTCTCTCATCACCTTCGTACAGATTACTTACGGACGTACCATAAATAGGTGAGACGTCGCGCGTACAAAATTTTATTCTACATAAGATTTATAGAATCTTTGTCCGTTTTTAGATACTTAAAGTATAAATAACTAATCTCTTCACTTTCTTAATATTTTATGAAGCGATAAAGATATTTTTCAAGATAAATTTAACACGTTATTGATTTGCAGACAAATCAGAGATACCGTTGCCTGGGTATTTTCCGAGCCGATGCTTCATTATTACATACAATTATTTACGAGATCGTGGTGGCCGAACGGACAGCTCGTGTCCGAAACAGTTCTTCGCACCGACGAGGAAAAGTTGAAAACACGAGGCGAGGCGCGTAGGCAATTTCTCAACAATGTACCTGAAGTATTGACGAATCTAGTGGGAGCGCAGAGCGCTCAGCGTGGTGCGATTAAAGTTTTCGATTCTCTGCAGAACGTGAATCTGAATAAACAGTTATTTTACGTAAGTCAAATCTACTCTCGAGGTGTGTGTATATGTGTGTGTACAGAAATCTTTTTACACCCTTTTTTTTACTGATTTCTCTCTTTTACAGGATATATTTGAAGTATTAATGTACGAAGTATTTCCAGAACTGCAGCGTAAATAATGTTCCTTACCGAAATAAAGTATCAATGTGATATTATAATGAATACGCAACCCCGTTTCATTCCTTCTTAGCGGATTTTACACCATGTAATTTCCACACACAGTGAAATTATAGATCCACAGGTAAATAGCGATTACATATAGCCAACATTGAGAAAGATACGTATGTACGTACATATTTCTAATGCGGATAACGTATAATAAACTACACGCTTTATTAACAAACATTCCTAAATATATTATTTCTTTATAGTCGAAATGTTTTTGCGAGAGACATAACAAATGACATATATCATAGCGCACATTTCGCAAAATTAGTTTGAATGTTTCCTATATCACATAATGCTTGCTAGAAACGACCAACAACTTAAAGCACTTTATAGTTACCGCAAAATTGATACGAATATATCGTTATATTTATAAAAGTCTATTTGAACACGAGAATATTCATGTAATTGAATGAGAGTCAGAGTACCAACGAGATAAGACGTTATTAGGGTAGTAGAAATATTAACTCCATGTATCTGTTTCATCAATTTTAATCTTTATATATGTAATATGTATAAGGATATAAAGTATAAACAATTGAGCGCACATAACTTGCAATTTCAACGATTACAATGTACCTCATGTCGCTACGTACCTAATACACGTTCAATATATTCTAATAGCTTCTTGCGGTAAGGAAATGTCGTGTACAAGAGCAACCAATATGAAATGTACCTACACATCTGTCGCTTTAGAAAAAAAAATCCAAGAGTAAACATGTTTTAAAATTCATTAATGCTAAATACTTTGGCTAAAGAAATGTAGTATTTAAACATTACATGTATATATTATTTAAATAACGAATATACACACGTTACTGAAATAATATACAACACTAACAAGAGATTGATACAAAAGTAGAGTAATTAGTAACAAAGTAATGGACGTATATAAATCTTGATAAGGGCAATTATCTTTTTTATAAGTATAAGTACCTTTATCATGCTCGCATTTGGATCCACACTTACAAATATCGATTTTACGGTAACTATATTCATAAGATATTAATTCGGTAAATAGATATGTGCTACTTGCGGAATTAATTCGAATTCGAGAAATAAGTTCGCATAGTATGACGATACTGAAAAATATATAGCGAATAAGCGACAGAGATACGCATTAGATACATAAACATATCAATACAGACTTACATTTCTTTTTATTACATTAAAAATAGCGATTGTTATTATAAGTATTTAACATAGTCGAACACAACGAGAATCGCAATTGATCGCGATTTCGCAGTCATATCTGAGGAAATACAAATTATCTATTTGCTTGCACTGTGCAATACAGCTAAATTTTTGGTAACGTGTTGACTAGATACAAGCAATTTCGAGGAATAGAAAGAGTATTCCCGAATTATATAGGAACGGATGTAGTAGTAGTATATAGAAAACTTTATCTATATCCAGAGAACTGATCCACCGTTCGGTGTAATAATCTCCCGCTCTCTCCTATCTTCTATATAACTTTTTATAATGTACTTTCTTTAACAATACTTAAAGACCAATCTAAAATCTTTAAAATGCAGGAAACTGTAAATATGTTTATAAATGGTACTTAGCATAAGTAATGATCAGTAATATGTTTTGTCTTTATACAGGGTCGCGTCTGTGTCCATTCGAATCACAGCATATCCTGATGGCAATAATTCTGGTTGACTAGGCGAACCTTGTTCTTTATCACTTTTGCTGAAATGTAGAGGAGACTGTGATACCTAATAATTCCTTTTGATATACTTTTTTTGATTTTTTCCACTATTTATCAATCTTTTTTTTCTTCAATTTCAAACTGTAGATTTGCAGAGATTAAGTAAACATTTACAGTTTTTGAAAAGTGTAAATTGTACATCTCTTCTAATAATCTAGGTTTGCTCGAAATTGTTGTCTATAGGATCATAGAATTCTAAAATATAACGAACGTCTGCTTAAAAAACAATTAAATTTAGAAGGCTACGTCTTGCAATAAAAGTATTACAGTTGTGATTGCCTAAAATTTTTCTGCTGCAAATTTATGTAACAGACACTCGTTAATCTTCTTCGTCAAGGTGCAGCGATTTTGTAAGTAAATTTTCTGGAGATGTTCTTAAACAATCTTGCGGAAATAATGTAGAGATTTCATTCATGTTTCTTTCTATAAATTGCATTTTTGTATCGAAATCTGCCTTCTTAAATGCATCCCAACTTTTTGGATAAATCAACTTATTACGTGAGACAAAACGGTACATCAGAGGTGGCAAATATATTTTTAAACATGCCAAGCAAAGGCAGTGTCCTCGAGGGCACATTTTTATATAAAGTAAAAATGAAAGTTCGTCCAAAAATGATACACTTCTATCATTGCTTTTAATTATTTTTCCTTTAGTAAGAATTGTATGCATAAACATGATTAGATATTCTGTATCAACGTCATGGGTTTTTGCAGCTTTTTCTATTTCAGATCCATTGAAAATATCTAGAATTGCTTGTTCGTATTTATGTAGTCCTACATAAGGTCTGTTTTCTATATTTTCGCTCATTACAATCTATGAAAAAGAAAAAGAAAAAACTGGTACATTAAAAAATACCATAGCTTTTGAAATAAATTTTATAAACGTGTTAACAACTAAAATTACATAGACACTCAGTGCATCTAACTTTCTTCTGCATGCATGTGTTTTAATTAGAATTAGAAATAATATACTTAAAAACTATTTAGTAAAAAAAAAATACTTACGAAATTGCTCCGATTCTTTCTAGATGAAAACAAAATGACTATGCAGGACATGTACTTGGTCGAATTGCCAACAAGCAACTGAAGCGATATTATCAAGCAGCCAAACTTAAGACCTCCGTTAGTGTTAGGAAAATAAATTGTATGTTCCAAGATATACGTCCCTAAGCGTCACAGTCTCCTCTACGCGTCTAGAAAAAACGTCTTTCTCCTGTTTGTTTTTTATTTGGCAGTGAACTCGGGCCAATAATTTACAGTATAACGTTGCGTTGATCCTTCGAACAACCTATCGAGCCACATTGGTAATCCATCTAAAAGGTTGTCCTGATATAAAATGTTGCCCCCGCCCTGCAACATACGCACAATTGTCATCAGTGTGACAGTTAGTTGCTAAACATCAGGAGCATTCTCAATGTATTGTCGTATACCTCGTCTTGAGATAGATCGGATTCGTTGGAACTGTCGAAACCGATGAAAGCGCCTGCTTCCGGATCCTCCGGTCTTTGGGCAAGTTGTTTGGCCATCTTCTCCATACGCTGTAATATAATGCAATTGTTCGATTCAAATGATAAGATAGCCTTAAATAAATTTGCAGCAGAGAAATCTTAGGCATTCACAACCGTGACACTTTCATTTCAAGAAGTAGTCTTCTGAATATAATTGACTTTTTAAGTAAACATTCGTTATCTTTTATGATTTTAGGATCCTGTAGACTCGAAGGTGTTCGGATATTACGCACCTTAGAACCTTTACCCTTGGCGCATTCTGGGTGTTTAGCATGGTACATGCAGAAGTACTTTCGATGTCCGTTTAAGGACAGGACCGTGCCGACGCAGTTCTTGGCATTTATATTCAATTCTTTCTGCTCGGGTAAGGTAAGAGATAATAGCTTTTTGTACCAATTGAGACCCCTTTCTAATGACATATGTGCGAACATAAGCGTCTTATTCTTTCTGAAAACGAAAAACGGTTTACGATGACGCTCTCTTTCTGTACTTTGTTCTACGCACTTTTAATTTGTCACGTGTAAAAATTTCATACATTTATTATCATAAAATATTAACTAAAATAGAATACGCCGAGAAACGGGGCATACCTATAAGGCCACACAGCTTTGTGGAAAGCTGGTAATAACTTTAATCTGCTTTGGGCGTCAACCAGCAGAATGATGGTTCGACATCCTGGTTTCAAAAGCCGAACCAATCCATGGTATTTCTCCGCACGTAATTCGTGCAATCGTAGTTGCGGCTGCGACGGAAGCGGCTTGGCATTGTCATTGCACTGGACACGTTCAGCGTGGACACTTGCCTCCTCTAGCTTACTAGATACGAAAGTTCACGTATAAACATTCATTGGGCGTTTAACAAATTGACATAATACACAAGACATCATTTCTTCGTATAAATTTTAAAACTATACCAATTTCAATGTATGTAATTAATGTGCATGCTTCGAGCGACTAGCAGTTATTTGTTACTTGGCAAAATTATTCGAGGACCTACTAGCGCCTGATCTTGAAATCCATGCTCTGCGACGTTCAAACAAAAAGTCAGAAACATATGTATATTACTCCGCATTTTAATTCTACTCACACTAGGTACGACATTCCATATCCCGCGACTCCTATTAGCATGAGAGTTACTAGTACCGATATCAAAGACAAAATTTGCTCTTTTGTCAGATTATCGGATATATAATCTACTGCTAATAATGCCCTTCCTATCAATCTGTCTACAGTACCCTGCAAAAGTGTATTGAAATAATAATAATGGTACACTCCAATAATTTGCAGGTCGCGAAGGATGATTAACTGTGGATACATGCCTGTGCGTGTTCGTCCGCCAATTCGCCTACGACAGCAGCGTATGGTAAAGCCTCACTGGCGCGTAACAGCCTTTGTATAGTTTTCTCTAAATGTCTACGCGTCTCGTTCCATACACGATCATCCTGAACGGCTTCGACCCAACCGTGAGGGAGCCATTCGTACTTCAAGTGATTGGCATCTCGTCTCCATATAATGACGATATGTAATAAAGGCTCCAGCGGACTGCCTTCACCAGCGGATAACGCCGACACAAACTCAGGTTGCGTATCTTTGAACACGTATGCGTACCTGACGCGTTCCGTGCTGCGAACATTGTTAAATCAAACATTTGAAGAACATACACACGTAGAATTCGCGTCACATCTCTGCTGAAAATGTTACATTTCAACGCGGGAGATGTAACTATTAATATTTTGCGATTGTATTGAAATACCCATAAGAAGATTCCAGTGCCGCTTGTCTAAATTTGTGCCTAGCCACGTCGTGCAGTGGGCTGTTTTGCTGAGATATTAAAACGGCGCACAACCGTTTCTGCGGCCTCATCCATTCAGGCGGGCATATAGAGTCCAGCATAGCCTGATTCGAAAGTCTCGGTAGCACGAGAAACTTATTGTTGGCGATAATGTTATGCATGGTTTCGCTGGAAATGTCCTTCATGCTAACAGACGCCATGGGCTTCTCAGAATTCTCGTTGAAGAGCAGCAGGGTGTCTAGTTCTCCCGAGATCTTGTATTTCGACGTTATGTTTTCGGTCTCCGGTATGCCGATCTATAAAGTGCGTTAAAATTAACAAAGAGTAATTTGGGATTTAACATTAATATACAAAATATTTACCTGAACGAAGCCGAAAGCCGCCCGATCTCTATAGTAAAAAGACGTAAGCAAATATCGCAAGCGAATAAAGTCTCTCTTCTCAAATATTAAAGCGCGTATTCGATTATCCGTCCAGCCCGACAGAAAATTGTCTATGGTGGTATCGCTAATAGCACTTATTAATTTAGACGGTAGTCTACTTCGTACAAATTCTGCAAACAAACGGACTCATCAGTGCATGAACGGGGACAGCGGACGGGAGACGAGACTCGCGACGTCCCAACGGCAGTAACGTACCAACAACTTTCTGAATGCTAAACAGTGATTCCTTGTAGATGCTGGTGCGCCCATCGACGATAACGACGAGACACGGTAGAGAGTGGACGCCGAGCCTCCTCGCCAAAGTGGACTCCTTCTTGGCGTGCGCCGTAGCCAAGCCGAGTCCCAGCGGCTCCAGCTCGTCGATCAGTCGTCTCCAAGTAGGCTCCGCTTGCAGACACATGATGCACCAGTCGGAGTAAAACAGGATTAAATACGGCATGCGGTAAGTCTTGGGCACTATCACGTTCTCGAACGATCTGCAATTTTTCCCCCCGAGGACATTCAACGCGACGTGTTCGCGACGACCGCAGGTCACTGTTCTTTCGCAACAAGAGGTACGCACCGATATGTGATGCTCATCTTGTGGAACAGCGTGATGTCCCTGCTCTGATAGTGGAATTTAAAATTACTGGTAAACAATTCTTCCAGCGGATCGAGAACGTTGAAGTGACTGTTGTCTCTCCTTTGCCTGGGGATACCCTCCTCTGTGATTCCGTGATTATCAAACTTCCTCCTTCTCTCCGGATCTGTTAAAAGCTGAACGATTCGACGCGACAGTTAAAAATCTTACCTCCGGTCTCTAGCACTGTTTCGCACAAGACAATTTACCTCGTAAGCTTTCGTTATCTCCACAAATTTGTCCTCGGCCATCGGATGATCAGTTTTGTCTGGATGCCTACGAAAAGTTGCACAACATTTACACAGAAATACTCGGAACGAGCCGCTCCATGCGGTTCTACATTCTAAAGCGGAGAGACACAAACACACACACACAGAGGTGCAGCCACTCACCATTCCTTGACGAGGTGCTTGTACGCCTTGCGAATGTCCTGCACCGTCGCGTGCTTCGACACGCCCAGTATTTTGTACGGATCGCCCAGGGAGTCGCCGGCGGCCGCCGGCGGCGTCGACTGGAGCAGCGCGAGGAGGCTCAGCAGCAGGAACGCGCGTCCCACGTACGTGACGGCGGCGTCGTCGCGGGTCCGCCGCTCGCCCGTCGCCGCGAGTTCGGCCGACATCGTCGTTCGCGACGCAACGGCGCCGGGCAACCCGACCGGGGGTCTCCTCGTGCACCGCGGCACTGCGCGAGCTACCTCGCCGATTGTCGCGGGCGCCCGCGATACCGTCACCGTCCCCCTTACTCCCGCCTGCCGCACGCGCTCTCACCGCACTCGGGATCAGCGGACATACTTCTCGCGCGGGGACCGTCGTCGTCGTCTACCTGTCGTCGTCGTCGTCGCCCTCGCCGCGCGCGGAGCGTCGCGATACCGTCGGCGGGCAGCCACTCACGTCAACACTCCCCGGGCTACGGCCGCCACCATGTTGCGGACAGACGTATGGTTGAAACCACGGTGTAAAGATACAAGGTGAGGCAGTCCGGTGGACGAGCAGTGTCAACCAATCAGAAGTGGCCCGAACTACGGAGTTGACCAGTCAGAAACTTGCCCCAACCTTCGGACTGCAAATCATCGCGGTTGAATGCAGCAGGAGCCAATGAGCGATTGGCCCCAAAAATTGCTTACGCGCGCTATGTTTCACCAGGTTTCACCTTGTATCTTTACAGCGGGGTTGAAACGCCCCCACCACTCGCGAAAGATCGGCGAGATGCGCCCACTTATTTGCGTAACCGGGAGCGAGGCTCGCCGAGAGGCGACATTTTCGATCTTCCGACGATCCGTCCGCGTTTAATTTCGCGCGAGCGATATAATTTCTCTCTCTTTCTCTCTTTCTGCGGACGACGAGATCTCACGGCCGATTTGCAAACGGCGCGCGGCGAGTTCTCATGTGGCCGACCGCGGGCCCTCGGCGAATCAACGCCGCGCTCGCCGGTCTCCCCTTTTTTTTCCCTCTCTCACTCTCTCTCCGTCCCGCTCGCGCGGACGACGTACGTTTCAGCGCGTGCTTCGGCCCGCCGTTTAAACTCCTCCATGACAATCTCGTGTCCGTCCGGCGCGGCGCAGCCCGGCTCCCGGTGTATCAGCACGTCGAGTGCCGCGGTGTCGTGTTCCGCGCGATGCCCACGTCACTAAGTCGCGTTACAATCGTTGCGATCCGTGTCCGGCGCAGTCAACGTAATTTCGCTCGTTGCAGCGCGCGCGATCTCGTGCATCTCGCCCCTGCGTGCGTTTTCCCTTCGCGACGACCTCTGCGGAACGTGTCGGTGAGTAATTCGACCGGCGGAGACGCAGCGGAATTTCTGCGCGCAATTACGTCGTCCTTATTTAAAGAGCTCGCCTGGAGCGAGAGATCGGTACGCCCGTCCGTCTTAATAAAATTGCATCGCTCCACGGGTTCGTCGCCGGTTAAGTTGGCCGAGGTTTCGTCGGTGTTGCGCTCAATCTCGCGGCGAGTTCCTCGCTCCTCTCTTCCTTCCAATTTTTATGCATACGTATGTGGACACGTATATATGAATGTTAATTTTACCTGTGCACTAGTAACAGAAACAGATGCGCCCAGCGTTACGCCTTGCCGCCGCGCTCCAACATGGTTATGGACAGCTGAAGCGTACTCCAGGCAGCCGTTGAACAGTCCCGTAGGGAATACAAGCACCCATGAGAGCAGGGGAGCTAAGCGGACTCCGTAGAGACAGCTCTGCCCCTTGCAATCGCCGAGGGTCAGACACGACAAACGCGAGTGGTTCAAGGGTGGACGGGCGCACGTCGAATGAACCTGTGATACTGCGACGTGGACGCTTGCGTTATAAGCGGCGATTGTAAGGTACGAATGCAACTTGTACCAGCAAGTATCTGGGCATCGTGGTAACAATGTAATATTAACTCTTTCGAGTAACACTTTGCGTTACGTGCGATAGCGCGTTTTCAGTTTTATACACTTGCTTCGATCTTTACTTTGCACCTGATTTTAGCAGGCAGGCTTTGTAAACAAAACCAACTTTCCGTTGGCACTTCATCCCTCGATGTTACCTCTCCTCGCCATATCTCACCTTTGCAGCGATAAATTAAATTAAATTAATTTCCAGAAACAGCAGCATGACGTCGAGAACTATGTACGTAGCGCAAGAGGGACCTGCGAACGCCCTAGCCCTGAACAAAGATAACAATCAGGTTGTGATAGCCGGTCGCAATGGTACGTCTTTGTGTTAGTCTAAAGCAAATGGATTCTATAAAACAATCGGGATATACGATAGATTATTTATTGCAAATGGAGTGAAATTGTTATAACAGTAATAATTAGTTAATTTCACATCGTCAAGCTTTCTGTTTCTGTAGAGAGCAGTGATTCGTATCTCGTGGCATTATGTTGTGCACGGGAGTATTATATCGCTGACTTTGTTGCAGTTTTTAAAATATTTACATTACTGGAGGACAAATTTGAAGAAGCCTGCAATCTTCGTGTTGGGAAAAATCTGAACTTGAATTTTTCCTGCAACGATGTTGCCTGGAATCTTAACGATGGTAATTCAATCACTAATCACAGTTGTGACTAATATGCAATATACCTTTAATTGTACCACCTTTAACTATCAGTTTATATTGAGTTTTGTATTGAACAATTCACTGCGAAAGATAGATACACGAATGTTTTCTGACTTGCATCAAAGCTCCCTGTTTAGTTCCACTACTCTCCCCACATGTCATTTATATATTGATGCCCTACGTTAAAGTAATTTGTCAAGTTATTTTTTTTATTACAATGTTACATTAATTTGTAGACCATATACTTGCCACTGCAGCAACAAACGGTGCGGTCGTTCTGTGGAACCTGAATAGACAGTCTCGATCAAAACAGGATCATGTATTCGTAGATCACAAAAGAACTGTGAACAAAGTAAGCTTCCATATGACAGAGCCCATGTGGTTGATATCGGGTTCGCAAGATGGTACCATGAAATGTTTTGATTTGCGAGCAAAAGAGGCTATTAAAACTTTTTATAGGTAAAGTGAGCTTCGTGAATTTATGCAGCACACGTGCTCTACGCAACTATTGATGTAATGATAAAAATTTGTTGTTATCTCAAGATTTGTTTGAATTTGAAAAGGATTTTTTTATTTAATTTGATAAACAGTTATTATTATATACTTATACATTATATTCACGTTTGCAGTAATACAGAATCTGTGAGAGACGTTCAATTTTGTCCACAACAACCTCATACTTTTGCTGCTGTATCGGAGAATGGTCATGTACAACAATGGGATATGAGAAAACCGGAACGTTACTTTCAGCATTTTACAGCGCATAGTGGCCCGATATTTGCTTGCGACTGGCATCCAGAAACCACTTGGCTCGCTACAGCATCTAGGGACAAAACTATCAAAGTACTTTTATTCCCTACACATTAATACGAATGCCCGCGCGAAATATATGATTGTACGATCATATAAATATTGTATAATCGTGTAAATATCAATGTATCGTCGTGACTTTACAGGTTTGGGATTTATCGGGTAAACCAAGTTGTGATTACACTATACACACTATAGCGTCAGTGGGACGTATAAAATGGAGACCTCAGAAAAAGTATCACATAGCTAGCTGCGCTCTAGTCGTTGATTGCAGCATAAATGTATGGGATATCCGCAGGCCGTACATTCCGTTCGCAAGTTTTAATGAGCATAAGGACGTTCCTACAGGTGTGGCGTGGAGAGGCAATCCGCAGTCGTTCCTATCAACAAGCAGAGTAATACTATCAACCATTATTTGCTCTTTTTTTTTATTACAACGTCGCGGCAAAAATATCATTCTTATGCTTTCACTCCACGTAACAGGATTGTACTTTATACCATCACGTTTTTGACGATGCAGTAAGACCGGCCAGCAAAGCAAATCCACAGAGCGTGGCAATAAGTTTAAAACATGATATTACATGTGCTTCTAAAGTGAAGTATGAACCAGCGAGTATTGCAAGACAGCTAAGTAATTTAATGAGGTAAATTTTTTTTAATTATATTGTACGATATAAAAATATATTGAGATTATAAAACTCACGATAAGAGAGGAACGAAATTGTTATACACTGTCAATGTGAGCCATTAACGTTAACAACTAACTTTTAATTAAAAGAGTTTCCACAAAGAAGTCCATTTTTGTTTTATTCAATTTTGTTTAGATTTGTTATACATATATCTCTATTCTTTTGTAGGCGAACACCTGTGACAAACGATGACGCCTTCTGCATGGCTTCAAGTATAATGCACAGATTTCGCGGGTGTGTACGCGAACCGACCTGGTTTAAGATAGCCGCAGAAAATTATTTGCTTTCTGGAAATTTAAGTGAAGCTTGTGATCACAATGCACGTGTTGCATACGACTTTGGCAATTATGTTGTAAGAAGAGATCTATTATTTTCATACATATACAGTAAATATAACACGTGTAATAATTTCAATGTACTTAATAATCTTATTTACAGGTCAGCAATGCGTGGCAAGTCTTGAAGATTATGTATACCGACCCGTTCGAGATACTTCAAAAGAGTGCACCGACTGTACCTAAAGAAGATATAGCCAACACGTCGAATATAGTACCAGGAGCAACAAAGAATTCGGGTATGGAACAATCAAACGCGAGTAAACAATCGAGTAAGTATGAGTAAGAATATCATGAACAATATATTAATATTTTGTCATTGTATTACGCTTAATTTCATAAATTTATTAATTTTCTCAGGTCACGAACAGGATGCAAAATCTCTTCAAGGGGAAAATCCTGCTGGTGTTGCCAGTGGCGGTGATGATGAAACGGAAACAGAAACTGAAGCGCCGGAGAATCAAAATGTTATAGGACCGTCGAATAATACGGAAACTGTTTTGCCAAGGTACTTATTACAATATTCGCGCTGTTGCATAAATCTTAGACTTATATTGTGCGCGCGCATGCCAAGATTAATTGATATGCATTGGTGTGATTAGAGTACTTGACATTAATTCTAATTACAGGAGACCGTTGCTTAGCGACATACCTTCCACATCCCGTGGTGATTTCATCTTCGGCGAAACTGAATACGAACCCGTGTCTCTGGAACATCCTGGCGAAAGTAGGCAAACTGTGATGCGTATGGAGGATGACGAGTGGACTAAAGAATTGCAAAAGGAGGCTTTTCCTTTACGGCACGAGATCAAGGACCGATCTCCACCACCGGAGCAATTTCCCAATCATCCTCCTGATCTCAATGAGAATTCAGCTTCCGTTATAGTTGAGGATCAACCTCAGTTAGTAGTTCCTGTTCTACCTAAGCCTCTTCCCTTTGATTTTACACCTCACGTACTGGACGGGCTGCGCTTTCACACGGCAATAAGAGATGTACAGACGACAGTATCGATGCTTATCGTTCTGGGTGAAATAAGGAAAAAATTGAATATTCCCATAGCTCTACAGGAACATTGGATATTAGAATACTTGGACATGCTTGGCAAATTTAAACTCTGGCATGTAGCTACGCAGGTTTGTTCATAATTAAAGAATCCATTCTATCACTTTTGCAACCGACATTTTTCACAATTTTTTGGTAGAAATTATTGCTGAAATATTGTGTTGTTTTAATTGTTACGCTATGAAATAGATATTTGTTTTATAGGGTTTGCTAGTAAATAATATATAGGCAGATTTTTAATAAAGAAATTTACTTACAGATAATACAATTGGCATGGATTCCTTCTATATCGCAAATGAATCAACAGTCGACTACGATACATGCGTGTTGCGTAGCATGCACGAAATCATTGCAACGGTCTGCGTGGTTGTGTGATCATTGCCATACGCCCGAACACGCTTTGTGTTCTCTTTGCAACCAGGTAAAAGAAATTTAACTCTTTCCGTTTAAGCTTGTGAAATAATTATGTATTCATTTAAAGTAAAGTGAACTGAAAGACAAATGCACACAGGAAATTACAATTACAGTACTTTTGTCAAATTGAAAATATTGTGTATCGTTTTTATACAATATGCTATATTCTTTGCAGTTGTTCATGTATACAAATTCTCTCCCAAAAATTTGATTGACTTATCATGTGTTTTATTTATTAAAATAATACAAATTATACAATTTTAATTAATCACAAATTTATCACAAATGCGTTATGATAATTGATTATAATTAATAGGGAAATTAGCTGTATTTTATTATAATAAAATAATTCCGGTATAAAATATTAATTGTTATGCTATTATGTTCATTATGATCAATTTTATAATATTTTTCATACAGGTGGTTCGTGGTATCTATGTATGGTGTCAAGGCTGTGCACACGGAGGCCATGTAAATCATATGAGGGAATGGTTTAATAGCAATCGACAATGTCCTACTGGTTGTGGACATCTATGTGAATATAACTAAGGAAATACGTCAACATTCGTTATAAATGTTGGAATTTGTTTGAAATAAATTACTATAATAAGAATATCATGACATGAACGCAGCAGAAGAGTTCCTGTACAAAGTTAGGTTTTATACAAATGCAACATATGCGATATACATAGATATATTAAGCAAAACAAGTTGTTTAGAAAAGTTTAAAATTAATAATATCTAGATATCACTTAAAATGAATTATCTAGGTGATATTCTATTCAATTCAGATAAAATTATTAATGAATACACAAGTATATTTTTGAAGTAATCCATTGTACATAAGAATTGTCTTTCAATTAATTATTTTGGATTAATATGTTTGAGACATGTGCATATGTGAAGCAGTGTAAATTTTTTAATTGATAAGTATTTTTAATTGATAAGAGAACGAAAGACTTTATATAAACTTATTAACAAATTTTATATAACTTTATAACAAGATCTTAATTAAATCTTTATTTGTTTAAATAGTAATTCAAAAATATTTCCATCTGGAATTGTTCTATCTATTCTAGAAATAATTGTTAATCCATTACGTGATGGGTTTATAAGACAGTAATTATAACATTTTAATGTAATAACTAAATCACGTAACAACATGCTTGTGTAATCTTTTTTTATTACAAATTTTGAAAATACTAAAAATTCGAGCTTATAATTACTCAGTTTTGTGAATTTAATATTTGATATGGTCACATATATTGCTTTGAAGTCAATATTTACATTAACATTTGTGAAAGTAGAAAATATGTATTAATGAGTATTTTAGTAGAAATTAAGTTCACAAAGTATCTAATTTTAACTGATAAATATAGTTAAGAGGAAACTGGTCTTTTTTGATACAATAATGATAATGATCATTCAGCCGTTGAAGGAAGAAGGTATATGTCAAATTTGTCGACAATGTATGAAAAATCTGACAACATATAGCTGATGAAAAGTATCAAATAATAAAATTTGTTTATTCTATGTGTTTGTATTTTGTAATATTTAGAAAATCAAGGTGTGCCTAAAACAACTGCAAATTATGATTCGTCCTATTCTATGATGATATAAAAAGGAAGCATATAATCGCAAGTAATAAGAAATACATTTAAAATATTAGGATGTAATTATTATCCATTTTTAATTTTACTTAAGTCATACTCATTATTTAATTGTGCTTACGTATATGTATACATATCGCATTTTTTGTAACAGAACTTTATTTTCTAGTCGGATTAGATAATAATAGAAATAAATATTTAGCTAAAGAAGAATCGTTACGTATTATCACTGTCTTGGAAAATGAACACGTATAACGTTACAAAAACCGGCGTATGATTTTTTAATGTGTCAGATAAACTGTAGAAAAGCTTGTAAATATTTATTTACATTTATACTTGTTAAAATTTATCAAAATAAAAATTAATTTAAAACACGTTGTAAAATCCTTATAAAGTTTTTAATTAAGTGATATCTTGTAGAATTATTACCATCGATAAGATGTTCCTTAATTTGTCGAAATTCTATTTACGGAAAGTTTGATGGCTGAAAAGGTTACGTTATTATTTATCAAAAGATACATTTTGACACGTAACAGAACGCACGCAGAAAGTCTCGGCTGTAAATTATAAATTTGTAACAAGACAAGATGGAAAATGTAAAAAACAATTAAAACAAACTGACTTCATGTTATAATGTTAGTCTCTTAAAAATGGTTAATCCCCGATCACGTTCTCTAAATTAATTTAATGTTTTCGCAGCGAAACAAGTCTGAAACGGAATAAGAATATGCGTCTTTTGATCCTCTAAGAAAGCATAAAATTGATTAGGAAAGCATGATGGGCGAGAAAGTTACAGGAGATGGCATATCGTTGTTACCGATGTGTCGGAAAAGTAGATAGTAAATTTATCGACGCGTGATCATTCAGAGCGCGCCAAATTAAGCTGTGCCACTTCTTATAACCTCTTCTCCCATCATGTTTTCCTAATAACTTTTACGATTTTAGGAAGGTATCGCGTCACGTATTTCATCTCTCGTCCAGCTTCTAATTGTCTCAGACGAAGGATGATAAATTCATACAATTATAAGTATTTAAAAATGTCGTACGCAATAAAATAATATGTAACGTAATATAATGTATGTAAATATCACATGCATATACATATAAAATTATTATTTAACTCCATTTTAATTATGTAATAATTTTAACATGATCTTAACAGCTGGTACCTAGTAATAAGGCAATAATATGTATAATCCGAATATACATACATATACAAATATATTGATCGAATGTGTCAAAATAAAAGTAACTAATTAATTGGTTAATTAATATACTAATTAATTTTACCAAAGGAATTTGTGTTAATTGAATCAATTTGGTAACAAAAGTTCGTAAGTTAATAATAAATCGATCGTTTAAACTTTCAAGGATACTGTTATAAATGCGCCTGTTCAAAATAATTTTCAATCTAAAATTGTTTTCAGAAAAGTTTAACAAGAAAAATTGTAATTAGACGTAGGAAAAATATACTCAACTTTCTTCTTCGAGGCAAAAATGTTTCCGCCCGGGATCGAACCGGGGACCTTCCGCGTGTTAGGCGGATGTGATAACCACTACACCACGGAAACCTTGTTGTGGTAGAGGGTCTTTCTTCAACCTATCTACTACAAGAGTACATAAAATTTTAACAAATTCTTTCAACTAATGTTAAAGTAAATTAATATTAATTATAATAGTGATTGTCATTCAATCTTTCTCGTCGCGCCACAATTGTAACTTAACTAACATTGAGGTAATATTTTTCACAATAAATTTTCTGTATTATTAAAAAATGCCAGGTATGGTGAAGAAAACACTAACGTTGTCACTTATTTCTAGACTTTAACTCTTTTGCAATGCCTATTTTGCGAATAGTTACCTCATAAGATCGTCACTACTGGAGACCCTGGAGACTAAGGACAAATGCAGAGATAGACATTACGCTAGAACAGATGGACGTAGTAAAATTTATCAAGTCAAGACGTATAGAATGGCTGGGACATGTGCAAAAAATGACGGATGGAAGAATACCTAAGGCAATATTGCATGATAGGCTGTTTGGAACTAGTAGACGAGGAAGACCACATAAAAGATGGTCTCAGGAGGATCTGAAAAGGATTGGAGTTGGAGGATGGTGGAACAAGGCTCAGGATAGAGAAGTCTGGGGTCAAATCGTTGAGAAAGCCAAGGCCCACATCGGGCTGTAGCGCTAAAGAACTCTTTTGCAATAGTTGGAAAGGCGCAGATTCTATACAAAGTTAGAAGACGGGTCAATAATAAAACTAGTAGACGTACTGTCAAGTGCTCGCGCATTTATTCGATGTGACGGTGGTCAAAGCGGAGTACTTTGAATTCTCGAATGACGGTATCGCTCGATATTGAAATATTTATTTATTCAAATAGCGGTTTACAATTTTAATGGAAATAACTAATGATGAGCTGCTTTCCTCATCTGTACCAGGATATTTCCAAGTTCCTCCCGCTTCCTCTTGGCACGGATGTGTGTGCCCAGCTAGAACATTAGGAAACGCACTTAGAAATCTTTATTCTCCGCTCTCTGAAAAGGTGTCGACATTTTCGAAAAAAATTTCCTGCTCCGCAACACTGGTCCTGCCTGAAGCAGGACATAAAAAATTCAGGATCTTTTAGATCCCTTCGCTACATACTCTTTACTCGACAATCGGTATTCCATAAGGCGGAGCGCAAAGTTAAATAACATTGTATTTCTGAAATCTACTATAGTTGTCTAAAAAAGAGAGAGAGAGAGAGAGAGAGAGAGAGAGAGAGAGAGAGAGAGAGAGAGAAAAATCGCAAGAGACATTTACCCGTCTCTTCAAGAACTTCAAGGCGCGTTTATCCTTCGACACCTTGAGCAACTCCATAGCACGCTTCTCGTAAGGGGCATGCCCTGTGACCTCCCGGATCAGGTCCCTCACGAACTTGCTGTGCTTGGTCTGCTTCTGCAATGAAAAATTGCGGCCGGGTTATAACACACGTGAGAGAGAGAGAGAGAGGACAAATATCGCGACGTCTCGTGCACTAAATTACGACGCATCGCCGACGTCGGCAAACGTGCGTTGTACGCACAAAACAATGACGGAGGTTACATCCACTCACCCCTTTTAGCCTGGCCGGTCGCAGGCAGACGGTCTTTTCCTTCTCGGACTTGCTTTTGGCCACGCGGATCTTGGTCGTTTTGTGACCCTTGTCGAGGCCGACGGCCAACTCGTATCTCGGAGCCATCCTGCGGACAGATACAACGGGGGGTTTTTAGGTTATCTCACGAGGAACGCTCGTTTAACGTAAATCGGGCGGGTCGCGTATCTATATACAGCAAGTTGCAAGCCGCGCATGGACGCCCGAACGAGTGCATCGTTCGGACTTTTTAGATCACGAACGGATCGCGGCGATATTTCAAGATTCCGACAGTCTGCTAACCTCAGTGACGAACGTCCACGTTGAGAGAGAAGCGTTCTTCTCGCTTCTACACGCGCGCATGCGCGCATGCGTGGAACCTTCGCTTGCTTCAAGCAGTTCGAGACCCCACCGCGCGGCTTCAGATCGCGGCGCTGGTGGCGTAGTAGCGGAAGTAGAAAAAGGATCTCATTTCCGTGGGACGTTTCTCGGGATTGTCAGGTTTCGTTGCTGGTTATAACCTCAAATCGGTCCCGGGACACGTGCTTCTTCAAGCGGTCGAGTGCCTCCCCGAGGGGGAATTATTTATTAGAAGACGGGGCGAACACTTTGTTTTTCTGGAACGCAGATTGCAGTAAATTAGAAAAATGGTTTTATACAATTTTAAGAAAATCGCGGTTGTGCCAACTGCAAAGGTTAGCCATCATCTTTTACGCCCGGTCTACAATGGAGTTGTTAGTCGTTAGAAGTCCTTCCTCTTCCACTCGGGAAGAAACAGGATCGACCTAGAGTTCCGACTTCTGACTAACTCATTGTAGACCGGGCCTTGTGTTACATTTGTTGTAATATGATATTCCATCGTGACGTTATACATTATTTCACCAAGCTGACCTTTATCGCAGGACTTCATCGACATAATCTTGTCGAAAACGCAACGGAAGACGCCGACTGTCGTCCACAAGCAGTACAAGATCACGAGGATACGCGCATTCTACACGCGGAAGGTGAAATTCACGCAGCAGAATTTTCACGACAGATTGTCTCAGATAATACAGGAGTTTCCCAAGCTGGATGACGTTCATCCGTTCTACGCCGACTTGATGAACGTCCTGTACGACAAGGACCATTATAAGCTAGCCCTTGGACAGATAAATACGGCCAGGCACTTGATCGACAAGTAAGAAAACGGCGCTTTGTACGTGTTGTGCGAATAATGAGATCTTTACTAGGCGTGCTTTGTGATTGCAGCGTAGCAAAGGATTATGTGCGTCTCTTGAAATATGGGGATTCGTTGTATCGGTGTAAGCAGCTGAAGAAAGCCGCCCTGGGCCGAATGGCCACCATCATGAAGAGACAAGCGGCCAATTTGACGTACCTTGAGCAAGTCCGTCAACACTTGGCTCGGCTGCCCAGTATAGACCCTTACACGCGCACGATAATCATATGCGGCTTCCCGAACGTCGGCAAGAGCAGTTTTATCAACAAAGTAAGCGACACTGTAATGACAATTTTATGAGCTCGTATCGTCGCGCGCAAGTAACGCTCGGTGTAATTATTTGTGATTTACTCTCGCTCGATAGATCACTCGGGCCGACGTCGAGGTTCAACCGTACGCGTTCACGACCAAGTCTCTGTTCGTGGGGCATACCGACTACAAGTACTTGAGATGGCAAGTGATAGACACGCCTGGAATATTGGATCACCCGCTGGAAGAGAGAAACGTCATAGAAATGCAGGCGGTGACTGCTCTCGCTCACCTGCGAGCCGCTGTGCTTTACTTCTGCGACCTGTCGGAGCAGTGCGGTCATACCTTGGAGGAGCAGGTGAGGCTGTGGACTATGACGTAGCAGTTGCGAGTTTGAACATATTGTGAACTCCGCTTTGTCCGTGTAGGTAAAACTTTTCGAGTCCATAAAGCCCTTGTTCACGAACAAGCCTCTGATAATGGTCATGAATAAAATGGATATTGTACGATTGAACGAGTTACCGCCGGAGAAGAGGGCCGTTCTGAAGCCGCTCGAGAACGACGCGAATGTGCCTGTGCTGGAAATGAGCACCGTCACCGACTTCGGGGTGATGGAAGTGAAATTGGAGGCTTGCGAGCGACTGCTGGCCTTCAGAGTCGATCAAAAGATTAAGACCAAAAAGGTAGTTGATCCACAGGTCCTCTAACGTCGAAAGATTCGATTCGTGGTGCCGTAATGCACAATTTGTGATACTTCCAGGTGGAAGGACTTCTTAACCAATTGCACATTGCTCAACCGAGGAGAGTGGATCCTAATCGCGTGCCGTGTATACCGGAGAGCGTTCTGAAGAAGAGGCAGGCTGCCGCGGAGAAAATCGCGAGAAAACGCAAATTGGAGAGGGAGATAGAGGAGGAAATGGGAGACGATTATGTGCTTGATTTGAAGAAGAATTACGATATCGAGGGAGAGCAGAAATATGATGTTATCCCGGAGATATGGGAGGGTCATAATATCGCGGATTACATAGATCTAGACATATTTGAGGTCAGTGTGAACTTTGTTTTATCGAATTGCGTAAAAGTGTCGTGGCGAAGCTCACTTCTATGCCATTCTTCCGCTTACAGAAATTGAATCAACTAGAAAGGGAGGAGCAGTTGAGGGAAGAGGCCGGCCTCTACGATTACAAAGTGCCGGAATTGTCGGAGACGATGCGCGAGATTGAGCAGCTGGCGAAGCAGATTCGCGAGAAGAAGTTCGTCATGAAGGACGAGGCGCGATTAACGAAGGCTTCCACGAAGCCGGTTATGCCGCGTACGACCGCGGCCAGGAACCGCGACCGATCGGTCGCAAAGCTGAAGGAGGAAATGGAAGATCTAGGTGTGGATATGGGAGATACCAAAAACGTGAGTGTTGCACGTATATTCCGGGTGTTCTCGAGAAAATGGCTTAGGATCATTTTTCACGTCGTACTGTTTATTCAGTCGCTGCTTTAATTTCAATTTGTTGATACTGTTGTGTATATATTATGTTATATTCTGTATTAATTGTAACTAGGCGCACTTCAAACGAACGAGAGGACGGTCCAGATCGCGGTCGGAACCTGCTAGCAAGCGGATGCGCGTGGAAACGGCGTCACAGTCGCGTGCCCGCAGTGTCTCGAGACCGCCACGAGATGAGATGGGTGTTAAAAACATGGCGGTAAGTGAGAGACACGTATTTGAAGGCTTCAAACGCAAATGATCCAC